GACAAAGTGGATGCAGGAGGTTGAACTTTGAGCAATGACGAGTCGACTCCTTTGGTTACCAATACTGTCAATTCACTCGGATCAGGCCTCCAAAGCTCTAAGATAGCCTTGTGGACTAATCCTTCCAGCTTTCTGTCCTGAGCAGCAGCAGCTTCATAAAACTGGACAGTTAGCTTGTGGTGGGTAAACGGGTAATCACCTCTAGCCTCATTGACTGCAGCCCACCTGAAAGAGGAAAAAATGTTGAAATTATATGAAAAGATGCAGTCACTAACAAAATCAAAAAGAAGAACGGGATGGGAAACAGAGAAGAAGAGTTCAACTAATAATAATGTGCACAGTTTTCCGTCTACAAAGGACATTTCAGAAAACAGACGATTCTGAAGAAATAAATTTAGTAGGTTGAAAGTATTAAGACTGCAATGTTAAAGAAGTATCCGGGTGACGAAGTACCCTAATTCAGTGACTTCCTCGTAGCAACTAAATAAACCAAGAAAGAGTCATTGTAATGATGAATCACAGGAGAGGAAACTATATCCAGTATGCAGAGCCAATCATCGGTTATTCACTGTTAGAGGATAATTACAAGGGAACTATTTCTTAAAACGTAACAATAATTAATTACATATTGTGCATCTAAACCATTATAAAAAGTGGTAGTGTTTAAATATGCATTCCATTATTGATAATGGTTTATATTAAGAGATAGAGTTCCACTAGTTATCCTCTGATATTGCATAAATGATGATTGGGCACACCTACACGTACCGTTTATATTCTCCTCTCTCTACTAGCAACAAATAACATCAAGAGAGGAGATACTAATGGTAAGCATTACATTTAAATTAGCCTTCCTCGCCACCATCCAGTAATCATCCCAAAAAAAGCTATAGAACCCTATATTCATGTTAATAGAAATGCCTGCAGACCGAAAAGATATAGCATGAATTTAGCAGACTTCAGTTTACAAAGAGCTAATAAGTGTAGGTTGACAGAAACAGGTGGAAAAGGAAAAGGCATTAGCAAGAATAAGGCATCATATATATTTTAAAGATGGAAACACACCTGCTATCAGTATGAGCCTGAACATATTTAATTCTCTGTAAAATCAGGCGGCACTGATGCTTGCTCACGGAATCGGCCAAATTACTGCCTCTGAATTCCTCAAGCTCTTTGGACAGTAACTGGCCAGCCCTAGCATTGCGGGATCCCAACCGCTGAGCACTTAACAGAACTGCTTGAACATCTTGGAGTCTATTTGTTGTACTTGCAGATGAATCCATGTTGAAAAGAACTTTGTGGATGTTTGATATTATCATGTTCAGAGGATCCTCAGGGTCATCAGCTAGAAGAGGATCCAACCCATCTAAGTTAATATGTTCGGCGATAGCCCATATGACTCGTGGACATACTCGTTGGGTATGCACCTAATCAAGTGATGCAGTTAAACACCAAGAGTCTGATTAAGGCCCAACTGAACAATTTCAATCGGGTAAGGACATACAATTAAGATTAAGATAAGATTTAAAGCCTGAAAGATTGTTTTAATAGATAGACACTGTAAAACTACAACTAACTTTTTCCTTAAAACTAGTGTTCCCCTCGAAGAAAAGATGGTGTAGTCAACAACCTAGATTGCTCGATAAAAAAATACTTGCAGAAAGAACACAGTAGCTCCATCGATGTTTACAAATATAATATATTGATTCAAAATCAGCAATCTCGTCAGAATAGTACTAAACATCAACCGACTGACATTACAGCTGAAGTTAAACTTGGGTTATAAACTAAGATCCCAGGCCTACATGAGGAACGAACAAACTATCAATACTAGCATTAGATTAGAATTTATATTCCCTGCATATTCAGAAAGTAAAAAGAAAGGCAAAGCAGAAAACACTTGCATTAAATAACGAATTAATGCTTTGGTGAGTGAGACCTAATAGTATGTGTGTACCTCTCGAAGATCCTTGACAAGTTGACGTTGAAGATTCTGCAATCTTGTCTCATTTAAGATTTGATCTTGAGAAGCACCATCTTTTACAGTTTTTACACCTCCCCTAGTATCATAGATATGGCACAACCTAACTAGCAATTTAAGATAGCAGTCAATTGCATATGTCCTGCCATCACAGTCCCACTTAACACAAGGCTTACAAACTTCCACAACCTCCAGAGCTGGTTCTGTCCAGTTTAGCGCACCATAAGCAGTTCCATAAGCCAGAGCCCCAATCACTCTGCTCTCCATTCCGGAGTTCTTTTGCTCAGGTAAAGGTAGAGATAGCTGGAAGCAACTTTCCACCAATGAAGCAACCAGCTCCTCTCTGAATAAACTTTTACTGGTCACACTGTTGAGATCATCTCTGATCCTTGCATCTTCGAAGAGAGAAGCAATATCAGTTCCTACAAGAGGTTTTTGGCCTCTTCGAACACTTTCCTTCGCAAAAAGGTCAACACAAAGTGCAGTTCGACAAATACACGCTAAAGCATGCATACGGTCTGATTCTGCCCTCAAATTTCTAACCATAACAAGCAGCCTTTTGAACAATGAAACCTTCAAGCAGAAACTTTAGAAGTATCAATATGTATCCGACACCAACAATATTCCACAAATTGAAAACAACATATCTTTCAAAGGGCTTTTCCCTAGGAGACATCTCAATTCCGCTCTGTGTAAAAATAAATTAGGCAACCCTACTGATAACTTCCAACATCTTAAAACCCCAGAAGCATTATTTTCTCGTCACCTAGTATCCAATCCACTAACAAATTCAGAATTCTGAAACTAGGAGCCCAAATTAAAATGAAGTCAGAATAGCAAAAACTATACCTGCATATGAAGATCAAGAAGATGGAGATTCGTAACAACTGCTCTAACAATACTCTCCCTCGCTGAAGAGAACTCTTGCCGGTCCCAAAGAGTCAGAATCGCGATAATCGACTGAGAGGCCCACTCGGGCTTCCCTCCAGGCACATCCGCCAAATATAACATATTAATTCCCACGTCAAATATCAGCGCAGGATCCAAAGAGGAACCCAGGAACGGCGCCAAATGCGTCACCACATCAGAAACCCCAACAAGCTTATCAGCATTGGAGTCCACCACGGTGCCATTAGCACCACCTGCAGCCTTGGAGAGCTTCCTGATCACCTCTACATTCCCTGATGCCACAGCCTTCACAGAGTACACGAGTGGGAAAACAGTAGCCCTGAAGGTTTCTACTGGCAAGATCAATGAGCGCGACATCAGAGCATTTCTTCTCTTCCAAACGAAATCCACCATGGAAGACACCCATTTCGACCTAATCGCTACTGAATTCTCACTATCCACTAACTTATCCCCAGCTAACCTGCTCATTCGCTTGGAATTGAACTCCTGAAACAACCTCCCGACGGATTCGAACGCAACTTTGGCAACGGCATCAGATTTATCCAGCATGTTCTGCCCAATACGCGACCACCAACTAGAAACCTTCTCCAGCAAATTCACGTTGTTCTCGCACAGCGTGACCAAATCGTCCCGCGCCAAAACGCATCCCAGCGTCTCGGTGATCGAGAACCGGAGGTTATCGCTGGGAGAATCGAAGCAGCTGGCGATCTCGGTGCTGCAGTCGGTGATGACTTTGGAGAGGGAGTAGGACGGCATGGCAGCGAGGATGGAGATGGCGGCGGCGGTGACGTCCGGGTCGGGGAAGTGGAGGTCGTTCCGGACTCCAACGCGGACGTTGTCCCACAGATCGGCGGTCAATCGAGTGGATCTAATCAAGTCGAAGGCGAGCTTCTTGCAGATGGCGGAGGCCGGCGCTGCAACTATCTCGTCGACGGCGGTCTTGGCGATGACGGAGACATCTCGGCCGGCGGCTGACTGATGGAGGGCTTGCAGTATGGCTCCCGACTGGCGGAGAGCGTCGTTGGAGCGGAGGTCCGCTTGGATCTGAGCGAAGAGTATGTCCATTATCTTGGTCTTTGGCTGTTCAAAGACCAAGATTCGGATGCTTCGTCAGGCCGCTAATTCTCGCCGACGGCAGAAGGAGAAGAAGAGAGGGGCGGCGGGAGTGGAGTCTCCGGCAGATTAGGACAAGAAAATGGTTGTGGAGCTCTGAATTGGAAGCCAAAGACCAAGATTCGGATGCTTCGTCAGGCCGCTAATTCTCGCCGACGGCAGAAGGAGAAGAAGAGAGGGGCGGCGGGAGTGGAGTCTCCGGCAGATTAGGACAAGAAAATGGTTGTGGAGCTCTGAATTGGAATCAATGGCGGATTCTTCTTGAAAAATTTTGAGGGAAAATTGAGAGTTGGAAGGAAACACTCTCTATGGTCGCTTATTTTGCTTTCTACGCGCTGTCATAGCTTTGCTTTTTCATTTTTCTTTTTTGGCCGAAAATGAAATAATTTCAGTAACTTATAACTTATAAGTTAACGGAACTACGGAAGGTGATTGGTTATAAACTTGGGCTTGTAGAGCCCCTTGAGCTGCGGGCTAAAGGAGCAGGCCCATTATGTGTACCGCTTACATTCTTCATCAAGTATTAGCGTGTGTGGCCGGCCCAACTACTTCTAGCAATTAGTTTTTTTTTTTGTTTCTTTCTAAATTACCATTTTGGATAAGATGGGTTAAGGATAGGGTACCACAATAGTAGATACCTCCACCGACTTACAGACCAAGAAGATACAAGAAATCGTAAAGATCATAATGAAGTCCAGGATAACGAAGGACATTCTGTGTGGAGTCCAGAATAACGAAGGACATTTCGTGTTCTTGGAGAATTAAGCATAGGATGCATACTTTAGGAACTTCTTGTAAGTTATTAGGTAGACATGAATGCATGATTTAACCACTTGCCCCTGCGTGATTGGTACGTGTCTCTCTTATATAAGTAATAAGATCAATATCATAAACCAAATCGATCTTGCCCTTAACTAGTTCCAAATCTCCCTAGCTAAATCCTTTTCACTATTAAAGATGGATTATGAGGTTTAGATATTCTTGTCACAAATGTCACTATTAAAGTCAACCTTTATCGGTGTTCGTGATGTGCTAGAAAACTACCCTCCCTCCCAATTCCCAAATATTACATCATAACATCACAAAAATGTTAAGAATCTTTCTTTTCGTATATTTTTCATCACTTAAACACATCAAATGTCTCTCAGGCAGTGTGCGAGTCTTCTTCTACAAAAACAAACTGGGAAATAGAGTGCGCGAAATTTGCTATTAGTGCATTTGGGTTTGATGTTCTTTGGTGGTGCAATGGTTGCTGGTCACTAGATAAAGTGACCATGAAGATCATTCCTTCTAAAGCAACCTCAACAACAATATATTTAGATGAATTGGTTGGATTTAGAGTTGTTAACCAAGGTGCTCATGAATGGCCCAACGTTTGACTCGATAAAATTTTTTTGCTTGATTAAGAAAAAGTTAGACTCTTAAGCCGAATTTGAGCTTAACATTGTTTAACTCATGAGGCTCGTGAGCAAACTTGACAGGGTAGTTTGTTGAACCCAACTCATAAAATCTCTTGTTTTGAGCTCATGAGATGTCTCAACATTGTGATTAGAGAGCCAACTCGACTACTAACTTATGAGAAAATCAATCTATATCTTATAAGTTGACTTGTTGATAATTCATAGATTTATTAAATTGTATATCTCACATGTATAAGACTTTAGTATGTGAGCAACTATGTCTCGTATATGACACAATATCAATTAATCACACGTATCATATATGACATATAAATATTAGGGTATAATTTATGAATTATCATAGAGTTGAGCTCTAGCCGAACTACTGATCTTAATGATGAGTCAAGTAGATTTTAATAAATGACCCAGCTCGAGCTTGACTCGACTCATTATAAATTAGCCAATCTCGAACTCTGCTCGTTTATTAACGAGCCAAACCTAAACAAAGAAAAACTCGACTCGACATGACTCGGCTCATTGATGGCCTACTCGAACTATAAGCTCTTTCATTTTTTAGCAGCCTCATGAACAAATATGAAAACGAATTGGTTGATGAAACATACTCCGTTGTTGTTAGATTTTAAAAAAATCACCATGATAGCATTTTAGTTAGAACATGTAATCTAAACACTCTCACAGTCATACAGTCTTATTTTGTAATTATGAGGTAAGGACACTAATCGAACCTCCACTTATCAAGTGGATGAATATGTTGGCAATAATGCAGTCAAAAGCGCGATTCTACCTAAAAGCGTAAAATTGTAAGCTTTTAAGTTTTAAAGCGTAGATTTTGACTACATTTGTAAAGGAAAATCACGATTCTACATAAAAGCATTTTAGTGACCTAGAAAGGTAAAAACGTAAGCTTTTATGTTTTAAAGCGCGATTTTGACTGCATTGGTTGTTCGTATAAACTACTGGATTATATTAATATTGTGCAGCTCTTGGCATCAACTTTATGATGAATTATTGAGCACTTTTCTAAACAACAAAGTTTTGGAAATCATGAGACTACAATTTAGACGACGAAGTTGTTAGCAATAGCGCCAAAACCATCTTCCTTAAGTCCTTCCTCAGTATCTTCTCGGCCGGACTTTTGGGTATGGAGTTCACAAACGCAACTCGCCTTATCTTTTTGTATGGTGCAACCTGCAACGCCAAACAAAGAACAATCAAATTCAACTCCCATTCAATTCCATAAGAAGAGAACGTAAATGAATATTCTACATGTTTCGCGACGAACTCCATTACTGATCTTTCATCGAGGATACACCCTGGTCGCCTCACCACACATGCAAATGGAAGTTGCCCTGCCTCCTCATCCGGGTACCTGCAACAACAATTTGTTCAGTCATAATTCGTTGTTAACTTGAAGAAGTCGAGCTGGAAAAGTTTGCTACGATTATGTGCAGAGATGAGAAGATAGAGGGTTACGGAATGACTGCTGCATCGGCTACGCCTGGATGGGACTGCAACAATTGCTCAAGCTCTGCAGGGGCAACCTACAATAACCAAATTTTAACACTACTATTAGTAGGAACATAAGGTATGTTACTTGTCACAAGAACCCGACCTCTTTTGTTTAGAAAAACTACATCCATAATAAAACCAACATTTATTTCATTAGTCGATTTCGTGAACTCGTGCTAACTCATCTCATTATGAGCCTTCATCTATAATGAGTAAGACCTGTCACAACCCATTACCCTTAACAATCCAACAAAACCCTTTAGCCAACATAACTTACTATAGTTGAATAAAAAATGGTTAGTCTGTTTACCTGGTATCCATTGTATTTAATCAACTCCTTGAGTCGATCCACAACATAAAGGAAACCTTGATCGTCAAAATAACATAGATCGCCGGTCCTCAACCACCCATTGATAATCATGTTTTCGATGGTCCCTTCAGGATCACCCACATAACCTGCAAACAACTCCGCACAAATTAATCTAGCTTGTCCTAACACAGAAAACTCTAGGTGTATTTCGCTCTTTACCTTTAAATGTTGTTGGCCCTTTGACCCAAAGCTCTCCTTGTTTTCCAGGAGGCAAAACTTCTTGTGTTTCGGGATCAACGATTTTCGCTTCCAAAAGCCCGTAAAGCCTCCCGACAGAGCCCCATTTTTTAGATTCTTCAGGACCAAGTACTCGAGAGACTGGCCCCGTCAACTCAGTTAAACCATACCCCTAATAGAACAAATGGTCGACATTAGTAGAAATCCTCATTAAATTTTTTCAAACATAAAGTCGTTTGTATGCGAAATTGTATGTTATTATCTATTGGATCAAAATTATTCATTTAGATAACTGAAAACTTGTTTGGAATGGTGTTTTACAACTTTCCATGCATTTGATTTTTAAAACAAATAAATTCCATGTAAGTAGAATGTTTCTTTAGTTTTCTAATTTTTGTCTCCATCTACAAGTTTGTGCCTACGATTAAATAATGAAGCGTTTTGTGGACTGTAATGGTAATTTGTAAACTCCGAAACTATGCAGTTTACCGTTACCAAAATTTCTGACCGCCTAAACATATAGAAAAGGAAATAAAGGCAAAGCTAATAAAATCTCAGACATAAGAAGTTGCAGACCTGGGCCAACTCCACCGTCGGGAACTTGGCCTTGAACGCAGCGATGACGTCCTTCCCCAGCGGAGCTGCGCCGATGACCAAGCTCTTCAGCGAACTCAAGTCATACCGCTCCGAGGAGCCTGATTTCACCATCGCCACAACAACCGGCGGCGCCATCGCCACATCGGTGACGCCGAACTCCTCCACCGCCTTCAGCATCCCGTCTAGACCGAATCTCGGCATCATCACCACCGTCTCCATCAGCGCGACCGACTTCAGCGAGTAGATGAACCCGAACACGTGGAAAAGCGGCACCGTGTAGAGCAAAACGGGCGGAGAAGCCCTCTCTCCCGCCGCCACCGCCGACGAACGGCACAAGGCGACGACCCTGATTAGGTTCCGATGCGTAAGCATCACCGCCTAATCCTTCCCGTCGTTCCCGAGGAGTACAGAATCGCCGCCACGTCGGATTGACTCGGCTGGGGGCCGTGATCGAGATCCAAATCGAAAGTCGTCCTAATCATCATCGACTCGAACTCGGGCGAGTCAACGAGAATCGTCCCGAGCCTCAGCTTCGGGAGCTTGTGGGCCGTGGATGACGTGGCGAACGCTATGGTGGGGCCGGATAGCTCGACGAGCCGGGCGATTTCCGACCCGGTGCTGAGCGGGTTACCCGGGGAGACCACGACGCGGATCGAGAGGAGGGATAGGTAGAGGATCGGGACTTGAACGCAGTTGGGGCAGATTACCAAAGCGACGTCGTGTCTAGAAAGCTTGAGGACGTGCTGAAGGTAATACGACAGGGATTTATGCCGTTTGAGGAGGTCGGAGTAAGGGATTCGTTGACCGGTGGCCGAGTCAATCAGGGCCGCCGTGGAGTCGGGCCAGCAGGATGCGGAACGGATGGAGAGGGCGTACTATTATAGTCGACGACGGAGAGGGCCAGCAGGGTGCGGTGCGGATCGCACCAATGCCCACCCCTAGGGCGTAGTCGACGACGGAGATGGGAGCGTCGTCCTGCGGGAGGTAAATTGGCGGTCGAAGGCTGTGGAAGGTCTTGGTTGTCGGGTTGAAGCCGCTTTCTGGGTTCGTCTTCGTTGAGGCCATCGGAATTGTTGGGGATTAATTCTTGAGGGGGAAGAGGAATGGGAGGATGAATTTTTGCAGAAATGGCGGGTGGATGATTTTATAATAATATACTCGAGTGGCATCAAGCGGGGTTACTGTCTTTACTGTGTGACTGAACTCCCTTGGACTGTGTGGTGGCGGTAACATCCATGGCGTCGATGGTGGATGGTGGTGGGTAGGGTAGGAGAGTGAGCATGGGAAGTTGGAACCCGAAGAAACTTTGGCACGTGATTAATGATGCAATTACACAACATAAAAACTATCGCTGAGATTTATTGATTATTAAGCTAAATGCTAGCATGGAAAATTTTAAAAAGTTAGAGATTTCGTAACAATTTAACGTTAAATTCTATTGTCATTTTCTAAAATATAAACTTAATAAAATGTTGAATGCTAAATCAATATAGTATTTAGATATATCACATATATAAAGTGAATTTCAAATACATATTTATTATCTTATTTGAGAATTCCAAATACATATACTAGTATTAGAAATTCTTCGTAGCGTTATTCAAAATTTATTTGTAAACTTTTAAAAGACAAAAACTATGGAAAAGTGATGGAGACTTTACTTTGGGTGTGATTTAGATGTAGAAATGTAAGTTAGAACATTTCATTTTAGGCGATTCTAATAATTTTATTTGGTAAAAATCGAACCACCATCATTTTTTTAGGATTTCTCGGTTAACCGAGGCATTGGCGTCGGTCGGTGTTCGGTAGGGGGAGATGGTGGTTCGGTTAACCGATAACCGACCAATCAGTTATTGGTTATAACCGAACCAAATCCAACCCTACCACCAATCGGCTAATCCTCTTGAAAACACCCTCACTAAATAGCAATACCTTAAACACTGATCTGTCCTCTTTCTCACAATAAAAATAGGGATGGTAATTTCGACCTGACCCGTTTTACCCGACCTGTTTGACCTGTTTTGGGGCGGGGCGTGCATGGGTACCTCTTGTCGACCCGACCTGCCTTGACCCGCCCCATTCTCGCCTAAATTACAAGTAATCTTAGTCAAATTACTTAAATTTTACTCGTATTACCTCATATTTTAGCCATAATAATGTTATAAATAAGTGAAAACCTAAATTTCTCCAATACTTTAATTACATTTTATCATATTATGGCTTATTTCTTGGTCTTTTAATAAAAATAATGAATATTTGTTAAGTTTTTTAACATAAATTACATAACCATTGGGTTGACCTGCCCCTAGCCGCGCCCCATAATAAATTACCCGACCTGCCACAGGGCGGGCATAGATATCGAAATACCCGGCCCGGACCTACCCATTGCCATTCCTAAATAAAAACCCAGGGGTCGTTTGGATGGAGTATTTGTATGAGTTATTTGAGTTCAAATAACTCACATTGAGTTATTTGGGCACAAATAACTCGTTTGGTAACGTTTTACTAAAATGAGTTATTTGGACAGTGAGTTATTTACAAATAACTCAAAACGAGTTATTTGAGTTATTTACTCATGTGTTATTTGAAATAACTTATACTCATGTGTTATTTCGAAATAACTCGTTTTATCACTCTGCTTTTTTTACCAAATACCACATGTCGAATACCAAATTTGCATGATTCAACCAAACGAGATACTTTATTTCAATTACCATTGAAATAACACTAAAATATCACATGGATAATAAATAAGTTATTTAACTCTATAAATACCACATTGATAATTAACCATCCAAAACCATGCCCAGAGTCTTGTCCTTACCATCATCAACACCGTAATCCCGAGTCCATTCCCAAAACGCCCATAAAAAACCGTATTTTTTTGGTTCGTTGATTCGTTCCCACTTTTCCCGGCTTTCCCTTCCCTTTCCTCCCGCTCCCAACATTTCACTCTCAGTCGCAGATTCCCTTCTCCCTCCCTTATCTCCTCCCTCCGCCACCGTCCCCACACACAAAAAATCTCCTCCTTCCGCCATTTCCCCTCGGGCCAGCAATCCAGCTCCGTGACTACACTCCTCAATTCTCCCAATCGGGAATTTCCTGAATTCCAATGGAAGCCGCCGTTGCATCAGCTCCCTTCAGCAACACCTACTACTACATTCCTCCACTCTCCTTCCTCTCTAGGGTTTCCATTTCCCTCCACCCTGCCTCCCGCCGCCAACAACAACAACGACACCAGTTTTTCCGCCGCTGCTCCTCCTCCATCCCGTTCTCTCGTGGCCGCAGCTGCTGCTTCGCGTCCAGCCCCGAGGCATTGGTCGCCGCCGCCGTCAATTCAGCTCTCGGACGTGGAGTTGCGAACAAGAGAGGTGGAGGAGACGGTGAGGAGAAGGACGAGTGTGGCGATTTGAAGTCGTGGATGCATCAGAACGGTCTCCCTCCTTGCAAAGTCGTTCTTAGAGATAGGCCGTCCCTCGACGAGAAGCTTTGCTCCATTCATTATGTCGCCGCTAGCGAAGATCTTCAGGTGAGGGATAAAACGTGGATTAGATTAGTTAGGAGTTGACCGAGTTTCTTTATTTTCTTACTCTGGCTTGAAGCTTCGTTGTATGTGTATCGCAGGCTGGGGATGTGGCGTTTTCCGTCCCGAATTCTCTCGTTGTGACGCTCGATAGGGTATTAGGAAATGAGACAGTAGGTAAGCCTTTCGTCTCTGTGCCTTTTTAAGGTTTTGTTCTTATTGTAATGTTGCAGTTCTTATGAGTAGTTTTGATTCAAATTTCTCGACTATTGCAGCGGAATTGTTGACGACGAACAAGTTATCGGAGTTGGCATGCTTGGCATTGTATTTGATGTACGAGAAGAAGCAGGGGAAGAAGTCGTTCTGGTATCCGTACATACGAGAGCTTGATCGTCAGCGAGGTAGAGGTCAACTTGCTGTTGAATCTCCATTGCTGTGGTCGGAGGCTGAGTTGGCTTACCTGACTGGCAGCCCTACTCAGGTACCGAGTACTTCTATCGTTTAATGTTCAGTTACTTATTGATATTGAGATGTATTAAGGCTATAATTTGGTGTTTCTTTAAGTAGGCTGAAATCATCGAGAGGGCAGACGGAATCAAAAGAGAATATGACGAGCTTGATACAGTATGGTTTATGGCTGGTTCTTTGTTTCAGGTTATCTTCTACCCTACACAAATTTGTGTCTGATCCCTATAAGATTGACCAATTGTTCGGTAACCATTATCAACGTGGTTCTTGATTTGTTTTCTGCAGCAATACCCCTTTGATATACCAACAGAAGCATTTTCCTTCGAGATTTTCAAACAAGCTTTCGTTGCTGTTCAGTCATGTGTGGTGCATTTGCAGGTAACTTGTAAATTTTGTTGGATTTGCGTTCAAGGGCAGAGTGAATCAGCTATGTGCATTGCACAATGGCGTTGTGCATTAGAATGTTGCAAAAAGCTTACTTCGTCTGTTTTTATTCCAAGTTTTGCAAATGTAATATGTTAATGTTCTTTATCTCTACCCATAGTATGCAAGACTTGAACTGTTGGGATATGTTCCATCTTGAATTTTCGTGTGGCTATTGAGAAATTATATAGTTCTAAGTCTCTGTAATTATTGCATATATCCGGTTTGCTGTATCTTCAATGTGCTAGTACTAATATGAGCTTCAGCTAGTTGCTGTCCTTCCTTTCCTATCATCTTTATTGAGCTGGTGTTGAGATTGAATCTGAATATACTTTGCCTTCTATTGCTCAGAAAGTCAGCTTGGCTCGTAGATTTGCTTTGGTTCCTCTGGGGCCTCCCTTGCTATCATACAGAAGCAGTTGTAAGGCAATGCTAAGTGCTGTAGAAGGTGCTGTTGAACTGGTAGTTGATCGCCCATACAAGGCCGGGGAACCCATTGCTGTCTGGTATGGCTGTGAAACAAATTGTGTCATGTTGTTCTGTGGGTGTTCCTTATGATGCTGTCCATTCTGGTTATCCAAGAGCTGAAGTTACTGAAACTTCCAGGTGTGGACCGCAACCCAATTCAAGATTGCTTATAAACTATGGTTTTGTTGACGAGGATAATCCTTATGATCGCCTCATGATCAAGGTACTTATTCTTGGGATCTCCTTTTGAAATTTAAGTTTTTCCTCATCAACTTTACTGATTTGTGGTTTGCTTCAGGCTGCATTAAACACTGAGGACCCTCAATATCAGGAGAAAAGATTGGTTGCTCAAAGAAATGGCAAACTCTCCATGCAAGATTTTCTGGTAGGACTTCCTTCTTACTTTTTCTTTAAATGAAAGTTAAGCGTAAGATTCTCAGTTGAATATTCTATTTTCCCCTTATTCCAGGTTCAAGTGGGGAAGGAAAAGGAAGCTGTCTCAGATATGCTTCCTTATCTACGATTAGGCTACGTATCAGATACTTCTGAACTGGAATCCGTCATGTCCTCGCAGGGTCCAGTTTGTCCAGTAAGTTTATGAGCATTAATTTGGCTTCCTGGATAATTATTGCTTCCATGAATATTATAATAAGCTAGTTATGGCCATGAAACATAAAGCAGTACTGAATTAGAAGTTCACCAGAGAGAGTAATTAGTCCTAAGCAGGCTTGTTTTGGAGAATACAACTAAATGTGATCTCTGACTTGTTGCTGAAACTTATTGCCTGTTGCAGGTTAGCCCCTGCTTGGAGCGGGCAGTATTGGATCAGCTTGCTGAGTATTTCAACAAGCGCTTGGCTTTGTACCCAACTAGCTTAAGCGAAGACGAATTGATGGTATTATCATTGTTTCCATTGAGGGTAGTTGATGATATAATCTACAACATTGGTTAGTTTTACTAATTCCTTACTCTTTCTAATCATATTAGTTGTCGGATGATAAGTTGAACCCAAAGAAGAGAGTTGCCACTCAGCTTGTGCGGTTGGAAAAGAAAATACTTCACGCGTGTCTGGAGGCAACTCGTGATCTGATAGCACAGCTACCTGATCTCACAATCTCACCATGTCCAGCTCCTTATGCTCCTTCGTTGAAATGAGAAAGGTATATTGACTAAGGCTTCCTAGACTCAGAAACTATCGTTCCTAGTATTTGAATAAGCTTTTCTTAAGACCCTACATTTCTAGATTTGTAGGTTGCAGAATATCATTCATTGGCTCAGGAATCTTAAAGAAGTTTTTCGCCAGAAGGGTAATATGGTCATCAGTATACAAAGCAGGACGAAGGCTGTTGTATTGAAATGTGACAAACCAGACATCTTTACTGCCATTTGTTTTGGTTTGCAATTTTGAACTATGCTGAAGACTCTATTATTGTGTTTGCAGGGTAAAGAATTCTGAACATAATTCAGGTAGGCAAATCATTCGACTGGCATCTGGCATTTGGCATTCGACTGGTGAAAAAGGGCCGGGGCATCAGTGGTGGTTCATGGGCATAGCTTCAAGTCTTCTGGTTGCTGCCTTTTTCATTTTGATTTTGTTTTCCCATTTCGAGTCCAACTGTGCAGCAGTTAGATGAAAAAAATTCTCCTCCCTCTTCTTCTGTATAGCAACTCAGCAGTACAAGCAAATGACAGGCCAAGGCCGATCAATCGTGTACATTACTACTGGTAAGGACTAGCCAACTTTCCCTTTGTAGCACTTGTACTTGTAATAGTGCCTCCCATTTTAACAGTCTTTTGCCAGGTAGCTCTCTCTAGTCTCGAGTTAGTAACATGTACATGAACATGATGCGTGTTTATTTGGGCTGTCATTGTCTAACACAAGCAGCTGTTTGTGAATTTTTGGACTGAATGCCCAATAACTCTCTTTCTTTATGGCCCAACTGGCTCAAAAGCCCAAATGAGGTGGATCTAGTACCTTCTTTGTGCACCAAGCCACCAACTTAATCCACATCATAAGACTACTGATTTGGAATATTTGAACTGGATATTCTAATGTTCATGCTGAAATGTGTTGTTGGAAAAGGATCCTTTTTTGCAGTGACCGTTGGCTTTGGTTGTCACCTTTTTAATTGTTTACATTTGTTTGTATACCACATGCTGCATTATTATATTCATCCACAAAATCGACTGAGCAGAAAACATGCCCAGCCCACCAACAGCAGAAAACGACGAGCCTGAAACCGTAAATAAACAGTAAACCCACGTACTCCTCCTATAGCAGAATAAATGAACCCGTTACCACTTGCCTTTACCATTCTTTATTTATTTGCCATTTGTGCACCACCTTCTAATTGTTCTCATCAAAAGCACCGAACTACTTTGATGGAGAACATTAATCATAATCCTAATTGTGTCATAATTGCCATCAGTCGTTTTCATTATCTTATGTTTGTTGTATAGAGCAGTCCTTAGAGATTTAGATTCCTAGGCGCCTTCTAGCTAAACAACAAAAAGCTTAATAGTACCAATACGACTGATGGTCTAGCTTGTTGGTTGTACTTGGTATACAATCGTAATGTAAAAAATTACATAATATTTATACTTTAATCTTTCAAAAAAAAAAAAAAATCGGGTTGATGACTGTTTTCGACATATGAATATGAAAATTTTGAGTTAAATAGGCAAAATCGTATTTGTAGAAAAAAAAATCGGTAATGCGTATTCTAGTTGCCAACCACCATATCGATCTATTATTATCCGGTTTCAGATAAAAAAAAAAGTAACAGCTCCCTACTTTCTTTCCATGGTTTTCTTTCAGAAGACCAAAAGAGGAGTGAGCTTTCAATTTCCGTTTTCAAAAAGCTGAGAGGGAGAGAGAGAGAGACAAAGGAAGGCCGCGCCGCCGGGAGAAAGCTGGAATCAAAGAAAGCGGTTTGACTCCCCCGCCGGCGGGAAACGAATTTCCTCCCGAAGGAAGTGCTCTACACTGTCAAGCAAACATGAGCGCCAACTCGCGGGGGCCACGGCCCACGCGCGGCCGCAATCCTCCGCCACACCAGCGGCCGCAGCCGGAGGTTTTCAACATAATCCCAATCCACGACCTCCTCACGGACCACCCGTCTCTACGCTATCCGGAAGTACGAGCCGCGGCGGCGGCGCTGCGCGCAGTCGGCGACCTCCGGAAACCGCCGTTTCTCCCCTGGGAGCCGCACTACGACCTCCTGGACTGGCTCGGCTTGCTATTCGGCTTCCAGCGCGACAGCGTGCGGAACCAGCGAGAGCACTTGGTCCTCCACCTCGCCAACTCACAAATGCGGCTCCAGCCGCCGCCGTCGTTGCCGGACGCCCTGGACCCCACCGTACTCCGCCGCTTCCGCCGGAAGCTACTTACGAACTACACCTCCTGGTGCTCGTACATCGGCAGGAGGTCCCAGCTCATCCTCTCCGGCCGGCCTAGCAGCGACGACATAATCCGCCGCGAACTGCTCTACGTCGGGCTCTACCTTCTAATTTGGGGCGAATCTGGAAACCTAAGGTTCATGCCGGAGTGTCTCTGCTACATCTACCACCACATGGCGATGGAGCTCAACCAATTCCTCGACGAGTGGACCGATCCAGAAACCGGTAGGGCTTTCCTCCCTTCAATCTCCGGCGAGTGTGCGTTTCTGAAATCGGTAATTATGCCTATTTATCGGACGGTGAAGTCCGAAGTGGACAGCTCCAGGAACGGGACGAAGCCCCATTCCGCTTGGAGAAACTACGACGACTTGAATGAATTCTTCTGGAGTCGGAGGTGCTTCAGGAAGCTGAGATGGCCTTTGAATTTCAGTAGCAATTTCTTCGATACGGTGGATAAGATTCATAGAGTTGGCAAGACTGGTTTTGTAGAGCAGAGGTCGTTCTGGAACTTGTTTCGGAGCTTCGATAAGCAGTGGGTACTGCTGATTCTGTTTCTGCAAGCAAGCATTATCATTGCTTGGGAGCAGACTACGTATCCTTGGCATGCAATTGAGAGAAGAGCAGTCCAAGTTAAGCTTCTGAGTTGCTTCATTACATGGAGTGGGTTGAGAGTTCTGCAAGCTGTGCTAGATGCTGGTACTCAGTACAGCCTTGTCACTAGGGAGACATGGTTGTTGGGGCTGCGAATGAGCTTGAAGTTTGTGGTGGCAGTGGCATGGACAGTTGTGTTTGGGGTCTTTTATGGGAGGATATGGAGCTCGGGGAGTTCCAACGAAGCTGACCAGAGGATCACTATGTTTCTCCAAGCTGTGCTGGTCTTCGTTATCCCGGAATTGCTTGCCATTCTGCTCTTCATACTCCCATGGATTCGAAATGCCATTGAAGAATGGGATTGGAGTTTTGTATACTTGTTCACGTGGTGGTTTCATACCAGAACATTCGTAGGCCGGGGACTTCGAGAAGGGCTCGTCGACAATGTCAAGTACACTGTGTTCTGGATACTGGTTTTAGCTTCAAAGTTTGTGTTCAGCTACTTCCTCCAGATCAAGCCGATGGTTGCTCCGACGAAGGCGATTCTCAAGGTCAACATTTTTCAGTATAAGTGGCATGAGTTCTTTGGCCATAGCAATCGAGTTGCAGTGGTAGTAATGTGGATGCCTGTGATGCTGATCTACTTCACTGATTTGCAAATTTGGTATGCCATCTTCTCCTCTTTTGTTGGAGCCACCGTAGGCTTGTTCTCCCACTTGGGCGAGATAAGGAACATTGGTCAGCTCAGACTCCGGTTCCAGTTCTTCGCCAGCGCAATGCAGTTCAATCTAATGCCCGAGGAGCAACTTCTCGGCCCGAAGATGAACCTAGTGAAGAAGCTTCGAGACGCGATTCACAGATTGAGACTGAGATATGGGTTCGGCCAACCTTACACGAAGATTGAGTCAAGCCAGGTGGAGGCCACAAGGTTTGCATTGATATGGAACGAGATCATGATGGCTTTCAGGGAAGAGGATTTGATCAGTTATAAAGAGCTCGAGCTCCTGGAGCTTCCGCCGAACTGCTGGAACGTTAGAGTGATTCGCTGGCCCTGTGTTCTTCTCTGCAATGAGCTACTGCTAGCTCTGAGTCAGGCGCTCGAGCTGGCTGAAGCACCCGACAGTTGGATTTGGTTGAAGATCAGTCAGAGCGAGTACCGGCGCTGCGCTGTGATCGAGGCGTATGATTGCACCAGGTATTTGTTGCTTTCGGTGGTGAAGTATGGTTCAGAAGAGAACTCCATTGTTGGGAAGTTCTTCAACGAGGTAGATGGTCACATTCAAATCGGAAAGTTTGCAGAGAATTACAACATTTGCCTGCTTCCCAAGATACACTCCAAGGTAATACAATTAGTTGAGCTTCTGAGGAAACCTAGGAAAGATGAGAGGGAAACTGTGGATGTATTGCAGGCATTGTACGAACTTTGTGTTCGTGAATTCCCAAAGTTGAAGAGGTCCATTCCCGAGCTGAGAAATGATGGTTTAGCCTCCCAGCGTGAAACAGAGCTGCTCTTTGAGAATTCTGTTCAGTTCCCCGACGCTGAAGATGAGTTCTTCAATCGACAGCTGAGGCGTGTGCACACAATTCTCACGTCACGAGATTCCATGCACGACGTTCCTAAGAACATCGAGGCGAGACGACGAATTGCTTTCTTCAGCAATTCTCTGTTCATGAACATGCCACGTGCCCCAAATGTCGAGAAGATGATGGCGTTCAGCGTGCTGACACCTTACTATGACGAAGAGGTTTGTTTCGGTAAAGAGAATCTTCGCACTCCGAATGAGGATGGAATCTCGATCCTGTTTTATCTGCAGAAGATCTATGAGGACGAGTGGAGGAACTTCATGGAGAGAATGAAGAGGGAAGGAATGGAGGACGAGGATGATGTGTGGGACAAGAAATCAAGGGAGCTTCGTCTTTGGGCTTCGTACAGAGGGCAGACATTGTCGCGAACTGTTAGAGGGATGATGTATTATTACAGGGCTCTGAAGATGCTTGCCTACCTTGATTCGGCCTCTGAGGTTGATATTAGGGCTGGAACGCAGGAGATTGCTTCTCATCATTCATCGAGGAGGAACAACCGACAGTTGGGTGATGATGGTCTGAACTCTGCCGGAGGGGGAGGAGGAGAGAGACCATCATTGAGGAAGCTGGGCAGAGCAACGAGCACCGTAGGGCTCTTGTTCAAGGGACATGAGTATGGGAGCGCGCTCATGAAGTTCACCTACGTTGTTGCTTGTCAGGTTTGTATCATGGTTAAAATCTCGATTTGGATCCTATAAATTTTTTTTTTTGTCATATCTTACGCAAACATTTCTATTCTGATTATGATAAACAGGTCTACGGGCAGCACAAAGCCAAGGGTGATCCTCGAGCCGACGAGATCCTCCACCTCATGAAGATCAACGAGGCGCTTCGAGTTGCGTACGTCGACGAGGTCCACTTGGGGAGAGATGAAGTCGAGTACTACTCCGTCCTGGTGAAGTACGATCAAGAACAGCAGAGAGAAGTCGAGGTATACCGTGTCAGGCTGCCCGGTCCTCTCAAGCTCGGGGAAGGGAAGCCCGAGAATCAAAACCATGCATTCATCTTCACTCGCGGAGATGCAGTTCAGACCATCGACATGAACCAGGACAACTCCTTCGAGGAAGCACTCAAGATGAGGAATCTGCTGGAGGAGTTCAAGGTACATTATGGAATCAGGAGGCCGACGATCTTGGGTGTTCGTGAGAACATCTTCACCGGTTCGGTTTCCTCTCTTGCCTGGTTCATGTCTGCTCAGGAGACTAGCTTTGTGACTCTTGGCCAGCGAGTTCTGGCGAATCCTTTGAAGATTAGGATGCATTATGGTCATCCGGATGTGTTTGACCGGTTCTGGTTCATGCCACGTGGCGGGGTCAGCAAGGCTTCTAGGCTGATCAATATCAGCGAGGATATATTTGCTGGGTTCAACTGCACCCTTCGAGGAGGCAATGTGACTCATCATGAATATATACAGGTACAGTACTCTGTCGTCATAACACGATCCGTAAACTCTTACAATTCCCCACGTTCGATTTTGCTCATGTTTTCAATTTTATGTAACATCTCGATGCTGATTACAGGTGGGCAAAGGCCGGGATGTTGGATTGAACCAGATATCAATGTTTGAAGCCAAGGTAGCAAGTGGCAACGGCGAGCAGATATTAAGCCGAGACGTCTACAGACTAGGCCACAGATTGGATTTCTTCCGAATGCTCTCGTTCTACTACACTACAGTTGGCTTCTTCTTCAACACAATGGTGGTCGTACTAACCGTCTACTCCTTCCTCTGGGGCCGTCTCTACCTCGCTCTCAGCGGCATAGAAGGCTACGCCATGGAAACTAGCAAGAACAACAAGGCCTTCGGCGTAATCCTGAACCAGCAGTTCTTCCTCCAGATCGGCCTCTTCACCGCCCTCCCAATGGTGGTTGAAAACTCCCTCGAGCATGGCTTTCTTCCTGCCGTCTGGGACTTCTTGACCATGCAGCTCCAACTGGCATCTGTCTTCTACACTTTCTCCATGGGCACCCGAGCCCATTTCTTCGGCCGGACCATCCTTCACGGTGGTGCCAAGTACCGTGCCACTGGCCGCGGGTTCGTGGTCCAGCACAAGAGCTTCGCTGAAAATTACAGGCTCTACTCTCGGAGTCACTTCGTCAAGGCTATTGAGCTCGGTGTGATTCTCATAGTCTACGCAGCTCACAGCCCCATGGCACAGGACAGCTTTGTTTACTTGGCGATGACGTTATCGAGCTGGTTCCTCGTCTTGTCGTGGATCATGGCCCCGTTCGTTTTCAACCCATCAGGATTTGACTGGTTAAAGACGGTATATGACTTTGAGGACTTCTTGAATTGGATATGGTACAAAGGTGGCGTGTTCACCAAGGCAGAGTACAGTTGGGAGACCTGGTGGTACGAGGAACAGGACCATTTGCGAACCACGGGACTCTGGGGTAAGCTCTTAGAGATCATCCTCGATCTCCGGTACTTCATGTTCCAATACGGCGTCGTGTACCAGCTCAACATCACCGGCGGGAAGACCAGCATTTCAGTTTACCTGCTGTCATGGATTTACATGATCGCGGTGATGGGGATCTATGTCGTGATGATGTACGCTCAAGAGAGATTTGCGGCGAAGGAGCATATCAAGTACAGGCTGACACAGCTCGTGGTGATCTCAATGACGGTGCTTGTACTGACTCTATTGTTGGACTTTACGTCGTTCACGTTGCTGGATTTGGTCAGCAGCATGCTGGCGTTTGTGCCCACAGGGTGGGGGCTGATAAGCATTGCTCTCGTGCTGAGGCCTTTTTTGGAGTCTACAGTGGTTTGGGATACGGTGGTTTCGTTGGCGAGGATTTATGATCTGCTGTTTGGAGTGATTGTGATGGCCCCCGTGGCGTTGTTGTCGTGGTTGCCAGGGTTTCAGGCCATGCAGACGAGGATTCTGTTCAACGAGGCCTTTAGTAGGGGCCTGCAGATTTCCAGGATTCTTAGTGGGAAGAAAACCAATTGATGGGTCAAGCAAGCTAAGGTAAGCGACGGAGTTCTTTGTGCTGTATTGTTTTAACAGACCAGTTCATGGGTGACAATTGCTCTGAAAGGAACAGCCCTTTGAAAATGGCATATCTTTTTTCTGGATGGGAAGACAGAGCTCACATTTCGCTGGGGGCACTGATGTTTCGTATCTCTGTGTTCGAATGCTGACAAACCCGCCTGCCGTTGGATGAATCTGCATTCATATTTCTGATCCATGTTCAAGAGCCTGCTGGTTTTCCCTTTCCAATTGGGCGTTGTCATATTCTGGTACTACTCTCCCACTTATTTCAGTCCTTCCTACACCGAAATTGTATGAAGTTCTCGCATCCTCTGTATATCACGTAGCATTACTAGCGGTTAAGGTTGTACATTACTAGAGAAGGACTAGGTAGCTAATTCCTTTTGTTAGTAATAGCCCAAAAGGTCAATGTTGAAACAAACCAGCTAGCTAATTCAGCAGCTCTCGGTGAATTGTAAATGATTTTGATTCAAAGAGCTGTTAGTGAATTGTTACGGATCAAAGAAGAGATACATAGTTACATGATTCCTATGAGTTGAGTGTCGAAGAACCCGGCATGGATTGAATGAACATCAGTCCGGTGATGATCGAATGGACATAGCTTCAAAACCCTAGCTAGGAGGAGGTCGAGGGGGTTTGCTACGATCGGATAACCGAGCACAAAGTTAAGGTGGTTGGAAATTTCAAATGAGTGGTTCGAGTTCAGCCCCACATGATTCGAGGCTTATATCATCGACCTACGACTAGATCGAGTCTCCTACACTCGAACCGGTTAGTAGTTCGAGTTTCTCAAACTCGAACCACTCCAAACTTAGGTATTTTAGGAAATTTTTTTATAAGTGTGGTAGTTTAGAAATTTGTTTTAGTTTTATGTGTATTTAGGGAATTATCCGGATTATATCCATCCCTCTAATTGACAAGGCCTCCCTGGTCGGTAACTAAAGATGTGTATTAGCTTCTTCTTGTTATGGATTTGTATAATGGGCCGAAGTGCTTTGGCTCATCAGTTTCTGCAGGATTTGTTAAATGGGCCTCTATTAATCGTGTGACCCTCCAAGATAGATCGACCCATTAACATTATCGCACGGCCCGCCTGTTGATTCCCATGCATGCAGACGGGAGTCACGCACGTACGTACCGTGACTGAAAATAAAATAAATAAACTAACTCCTCCGCTAGTTAGGTAAGATAATTCCAATATTCCATTTCTTCTCCATGGACAAAGTCTCTCAAATAAAAATGGAGAGACCTGTAGCACTAACTTAGGATTTTAGAAAATGTGGGAGAGCGGATGAAAATAAAATAAATAAACTTTACTTCAGTACTCATTTTATTTTATTTTTTATATCGAGCTGCAATAACTCTAATACAATGTGGTTATGCACCCTATCCTGTATCGAGCACAGCAGAGACAAAGGGGAAAACCAACCTGAGGCAAAAAAAAAAAAAAAAAAAAACAAACCCAATCCCAAGAAAAAGCCTCCAACTACACTCTAAAGAAAGTCTTGACAGACTCTTGCTTTCTTCAGTTGATGCTACCTATCATCAAGTCTCCATAAATGTTGCGTAATCATTAAATTGAAAAAAACCCATGCCCACAGAATCACAGTTGCCATACACATGAATGAGCTTAATTATTATGGATAAAGACTTCGAATTCCAGGTCGATTAAGTCTATTTGATGTGGAGTTGCAGGTGAGTCATTCATGAATCCTCATTCCCATATGATTCCTCGAGTTCCCTACGTCACACTGTTGTCGCTGTTGATTCTCAGCTACAAGTATCACGACTTGCCGTGATCAATCGACCAATTTCGACGGAAATGAGAAGAATTTGAGAGAACCACCGGAGTTGCAAAGCAGAGAAGAGAGAGGAGAGAGAGATGAAATAAGAGATAAGGTAAAAAGGTGAAGGGATTGTATAGTTCTCCGCCAGCAGTGGTCGAGCTAAGTACGTTAATGGCAGGGAGGCTATAGCTCCCTACAACTGTCAAATAATGAATTGGTAATATAGTAGTTGGTATGACTTTAGCCCCTCCTCGCTGGTTTGGATGGAAATGGTGCGATCTAGTCCATACTAGATCATATATATGGTCTACGGTCCAGACTGAGAGGTTGGAGTATAGACCACAGACCAGATCAAAGTCTATACAATCTAAGATAAGACCACGCCTGTGCGGTCTGATGCGGTACAGTCTGGTCCAGATAGACCACACTGAACGAAAAATGAACAATTTGATTAGTCAACCACAAAAATATTGAACCAATAACCAAGAAACAATTGGTTATTTTGCCTTTAAAACATAATTCCAACATGTACAACATAAATCTCACTAAACAATAAAGATACAAACACAAAGCATGAAGCATCCCAACTTGCACCATAACGTCATAAACATTTACATAATGTCATATGGAGACACGATCGTCTCTACTTATCTCTCGTGAAATGTGGTATTGAATGAAGGAGGGGACGAGATTCTCAAAAGTAAGATTCATACTTGGGTAGGGCTAGGAATACAGACAAAACCGTATGACAAACCGCGGTTTAAACCGTACCGCACAGTTTGGTCCGGACCCCTAGACCATGAATACAATTTGGTCTGGTCCATAGTTTGCCTCTTTCACTTGCGCTCTGTAACGGTTTGATCTGGTCTAGACCGTGGTTAACCGTCCAGACCATGGCCAAAATTAAGTATGGGTTGAGCCCAACTAGGCTCCAAATTCCAATGGACCAAACCAATTTCATTCTCCCGCCATTGACCATCCCATGATGCGAACACTCGCAGCCCTAGTCAATGGTAATTTTTATTAAGGGTAAATACAATTTAATATCCAAACCTTTCATTTTAAACAATATAGAATCCAAACCTTTTCGAAAACAATTTAATATCCAAATCGTCAACTTTCCGTCCGTTTGACCTTTAGTTGACACTTCAAAAAAGCTTTGTTTAGGGGAAATTGTCACAATACAACTTTGTTTTGTTGTTTTGGCATTGCAGATGACTAAATATTAAGATATTCTATATCATCATGGTGGAGTCATGGACTTCTAGGGTTTGGAACCACGATATGTTGGTAGTTATTCAGAGAAGATATCGATGGATATTGATGAAGTGTCGTACTTTGAACTTTTTTGAAGTGTCAACTAACGGTCAAACGGACGGAAAATTGACGATTTGGATATTAGATTGTTTTTGAAAAGATTTGACTATTATATTGTTTAAAATGAAAGGTTTGGATATTAAATTGTATTTACCCTTTTATTAATATAGTATTTTGTTCCTCAATTGTCAAATTTCAATTGTGTGTTTTGGATTTTCTAACTATTTATTTGATTTTTTTTCTTCCTTTGTTTAGTTTACAATGTCCTTATGGTGGAGCAGCAACTTGAGATAGGAGTACCCCAAGATTCTAACATGAGCAAAGAGATTGGAGGAAGTGATGATGTTGTCTCGGCTTCGAACATATGAAGGACAAAAAGAGATTGGTGTTTGAATTTACACTTTTTCTGGTTTGTTGAACTTATTAGTATTGAACTATGGATGTTGTTGATTCTTAATCTCACTTTATGTTGGGTTGTCGACTTGAAATGTTGGTGTTATGTTGACTTTTGAACTTTGTCAGATTTGATGTCCATGTGTTTTTTATTTGTCACTAGCTAATATATAACATTGGATAATACAGGTTTTGTTGAACACAGTCTATTCGGTCCAGACCGTACCGCACCGCATAGGCCTTGTCTGGTCTGGACCGTATAGGTTATGGTCTGGTCCATGGTCTCTGTTTTACCCTCTCGGTCTGGACCGCAGGCCGTGTAAATGGTATGGTCTGGACCAAACCGTACCGTTTTCCATCCCTAGACTTGGGTATCGTTGTGAGAGTTGGGTGAGTGATCGAGTGGGCTACTAACACATATTGAGAAGTCGGCTGGGTCCATGGTGTGGTCCGGTAAACCGCGGTCTAGATCAAACCAGATCAAGAGATCAAAATATCATATAATAGTATAATATAGACCATGCACCAGACCAATCCACACTTAACGATCTACGGTCCGAATCAAACTGTGCGATCCAGTTTGGACCCTGATTTTTCAAACGATTTGATCTATTTTTCCGACCCAAGAAACGGACGTGGAAAAACAAATCCAAGGTGAATCTACACCCCCGAGTCAATGTTAATTATTTTTCTTCTAGAAATTGGAATAGGGCTCTTTTGAAAAACAAAGCAAGACCGTAAGTAGTTGATTGGGTCAATATAATTAATTGGATTGTCAATTTTATTCCGACTGCTGAGCTCAATTAGTGTTGTGGACTTGGAGTCTTGTGAGTGGAGTTATAGCTTCCTAGTCCCCCACTCCACTAATTAGTAATAAAAGTGCCATTGCGAAATTATATATTAGATGGAATAATTCTCCCATCCTCGGTCTCCTATACCACTTGACATGATTAGCTAGCTAGCTAATTCTTCCACATGACTAACACCAAAAGTTAAGTTGGTAAGATTCATTACCATTCAACACGCCGGACTGACCGAATTTTATAAGGAAAAGGAAGGGGGGAAAAAGCAAGCCAGGCGGATATACACTTCACCACTGACACGCATAGCTACTCGGAAACTTCTCATCACCGAAAGCAAGACCGTACGTTATAATTAATTAATAACCATCCCAGTTAAGTTGCAGATGATATGATGGAGAAGAAGAAAAAAATGAAATCCCCTCCGATGCACAACAATGGCCCTTGTTTGTCTTATTCATCATCTTGCTCCCGTTGCGGTGGTTTTGCTCATCTTCTGTTGTTGTTGTAGCATTCATCCCGGGGTAGCAGTGGACACTCTGAGGCAAGGCGGCCCAGCCCTCCCTCCCGGTTCCAACTCCTCCCTCGACAGCCCAAGCGGACAATTCAGCTTAGCCATCACCGAGTTCAACTCCGACAACCTCACCTGCCGCTACCTCGGCCTCTGGTGGGAGTTTCGGTACTTCATCTGGACGGTCGACGGCAGCTTCCGCATCTGCGACGGCTCGGGCCGCCTCGTCCTCGACCGCAACGGAACCCTCAAGCTCACCCACTCCGCCGCCGGCCCACCCCTCGTTCTCTACTCCAACAACAACAACACCACTAGCAAGAACCTGACCGCCGCCGTCCAAGACAACGGCAGCCTCGCCGTGAGGGACGGGAAATTAGATCCGCTGTGGCAGAGCTTCGACTCCCCCACGGATTCCTGGCTGCCCGGGATGAAACTCGGGGTGGTCAACACCGGGCAGAACCGTAAGCTGACGTCATGGCTGGTGGATTCCCTCCCGGTGAAAGGGGCCTTCACGCTGGAGTGGGACCCCAAGAGGGAGGAGCTGGTGACGAAGCGACGGGGCGTGCTGTATTGGGCCAGCGGCAAGCAATTGGGCCCCGACCGGTTCCAGCATCTGGACCTCACGGGGATCTCGTCCGCCGGGCTGGACTACAACGTGACACGTGTCTCCAAGGGCGGTGACGATTACTTGACTTTCGGAGTTTCCGTGAACGGAAACAGTGTCCCGGGACAGTGGAACTTCAGCATCTTGGCGTTGGGCCACGACGGCGGGATCGAGGACAAGACCGTCGGCGTTCCGGCACTGGACCCGGACCTCTGCGACGGGAACAGCACGGAGAACGGGTGCGTGAGATGGGAAGGGCCGGAGTGCCGCCGGAGCAACGAGGAGAGGTTTTATCTGCCGCGGTGGGATGAAATGCTGGAGGAATGGGATGAGGAGGTGGACGGCGCGGCCAATGGGAGTGTTGTGGTGGGTAGTATCAGCGACTGCAAGGAGTGGTGCTGGAACCATTGCCAATGCGGTGGGGTCAGCTTAGAGCGCGCTGGAAATGGCACGACTCAATGCGTTTTTTACAAGTACGGGGTTTCTTCTAACGAGTCGTCGGGCGTTCCCCGGGCCAACATGTACCGCCAAATTAAGGGTAAAGTTCCTAGAAAATACGACTCCGGTGGCAATGGCAGCACCAACGCTCCTTCCAGTAATCTCTCTCTCTCGATGCCCTCTCCCCTTCCTTCTCTTGTGTTTGATAAAATCATATTTCTTTCTTGTGCCTTGTTAATTACGTACTCAAATGATGATGTTATATATCTAGGTTTGTGTAAAGTGTATTCATGATAGCGAATTCTATAATTACCTATGAAAAACATATAATTTGCGATTTTCATCGCAAATATATACCTGCAATCCAGCCAAACATAAAATAAATAGTTCCATCGATCAACACATTCGGTAAGTTTTCAGCTACCATTGCAGTTTCCCCAAGTGCAGCCCCATCAGCAGTTGATCCTCCTCCGGCTAAAGCAAAAGTGAAGAACAGTAGTGGGAAGTGGGTAAAGAAGAGCGGGAAGTGGGTTTTGGTTGGGATCGCATTGGCGCTTATGATCCTCCTCATACTTACCACGTTTTGGTACACGAGGAGGCGAAAACTCAGAGGTTTCTGAAACTCTCTTTTGCTTTTTAAGATTTTTTTAGTTTCCCACATTGGTTTGATTACATTTTTTTTTTACTTGGCTAAGTTTTCCTCTTGTTTTAGCAGAGTTGGTGACTGCGGTGAGAGATGAAGGAAATGGAGGGCACGATCATTTGACGGTTTACAGTGTGGCGGCGATAATGATGGCTACAGATAACTTTTCCCCTCAAAACAAGCTTGGTCAAGGAGGTTTTGGACCCGTTTACAAGGTAAAATTTCGATGGACTGATCAAACAAACATGTTTTACACATTCATAGAAGTGCACCCATGTTTCTACTTTACGAATATGATATTTTTTTGGGCATTTCTAATAATATCAAGTATTATTCCTATTTTGGCATTTCTAATTTCCAGAGTTTTTTCCTCGATTAGCAAAGGTCCCGAGAAGCTTTCTAGTTATGAATCGGGTATAGAGGCAATTAGAAGAGATTTTTTTGTTTGTTTGTTTTAGGAAGAAAAAAAGACCGCACTAAATGGTTCATTAGTATACTGTTGCTATCACTAGAGATCAGTTTATCCAGCCGATCCAACAATGTACGAGCTTTTACAATTCCATTTTGTTTGTTCTGAATCCATTTTTGTTGTTGTCCTATGTTTGGAGATGGTGTTTGGCCATTCTGTTTACGGTTTGAAGAATGTGTTAACATAGACCTTTTAACCCCTCAGTAATTTACACTCTCCTTAAAATGTAGTAAAACTGATCTCTCTTATATGCGGACTAACTAATATGTATTGTATGAGTGAATCATGTAAACATGCGTGTTTTTATTGTCCTTCTTTGTTAATGATGTAATAGCATATATGCTTCAGGGAAAACTACCAAATGGGTTGGAAGTAGCTGTAAAGAGATTATCAGAAACATCAGGCCAAGGCTTGGTGGAGTTTCGAAATGAGCTAATACTCATAGCTAAGTTGCAACACAGGAACCTTGTTAAGCTTTTGGGTTACTGCATCCATGGAGAAGAGAAGATGCTAGTATACGAATATATGGCAAATAAGAGTTTGGATTCTTTTATATTTGGTAAGTAAATTATCTATATATTACAATTTTGTGATGCCTTCTTTCTACTAACCTTGGGAGTTTGTTTCTTGTACCTCCTGTGCACATGACAGACGAATCGAAGAGATCACAATTAGACTGGAATGAGCGTTTCAATATTATTGAAGGAATAGCTCAAGGGTTATTGTACCTTCACAAGTATTCGAGAGTGAGGATCATACATAGAGATCTAAAAGTTAGCAACATACTACTAGACGAAAAAATTAATCCAAAGATCTCAGATTTTGGGTTGGCGCGTATTTTCTATACAAATGCTTCGAAAGCTAACACAAACAGGCCAGCTGGAACATTGTAAGTCATCATCAATTTCTCTACTCTTCACATTTCATTACTAGACGAGCAACTTCACATCAAACTAGATGTATGGTGCAGTGGCTATATGTCTCCAGAGTACATAATGGAAGGTGTTTTCTCCACAAAATCTGATGTCTTTAGTTTCGGCATTATGTTGCTGGAAATTGTAAGCGGAAGGAAGAACTATCGCCTCATTCAACAAGATCCACCGATCAATCTCGTGGGATATGTAAGTTTATGGCTTTTATTTAGTTTTTGGAATTAAACTTGCAATTGGAAGAAGATTGTTCTAATTCAAAACTAGCTGGATTACTCACTTGTTACAAATGTATCTCCAGGCTTGGAAGCTATGGGAAGAAGGCACCCCATTACAGTTAATGGATCCATTCTTGAGCAATATCGATAATTATAAGGACCAGATACTTAGATGCGTTACCGTAGGGCTACTCTGCATTGAATACAAGGCAGAAGACCGACCGTCAATGTCAGAGGCAATATCAATGTTAAATAATCAAGTTGCATCATTGCCCATACCAAAACAACCCGGCTTTACGACGAGGCCGGGAAGTATTGGTTCTGAGAGAAGGAACCTGCCAGAAAAATGTTCAGACAATGAGGTCACGTTGACAACAATGTGTGCTCGATAGGTAGACATGGAGGATTCCATCACTTTTTTTGTTGAGTTTTTTATTCTCTTTTGCTTCTTGTATGCATCTTAGTATATTTGCAGACACTTTGATGTGGTGTTTTTTGAAGGAAATACGAGGATCAGGTGTCAGAATCAGATAAAAAATAAGCTTGTCCCTATTTTAAAAGGAACTAACTTACTGGATATCTACGAAATTGAGTCGTGAGAGTTTGACCAAACGTAAACTACAAGTCTAAAGACCAAATTGGTCCAAAGAGAACTATAATGTGAGAAGGAACTTCTAGTCCTAAAATATACTACTAGACGAGAATCCGAAATCTTAAAATCTCGTATTTTGGTATGTCTCACATTTTCAATACAAATGCATTGGAAGATAGAACAAATAGTCTTGTCGGAACATAATAAGTAGCCTCTCAAATTTCCTCACCCACCATACTATCTTTACGTCAGTGGTGGTCATATTTTTTATCATGTATAAGTTGGAAGGATTCCTTACGTATTAGGATTGATTGAAAATTTAGTAATTAATTACATCTAACTATGTGACACAGTAATTAAATGTTTCCCGGGTACGCCATGGATGACACAGTTTTATTTTATGTTGTATGTATCTTAGTTACCCTCCATACAGAATATAGAAGTAAATTAATTATTCAAAATCTAAAATCTCTTAAATTATAACATAATTTCTCTCCACATATTATGTCTCTCCCATAATACAGTAGCTAGTTGTCCTCATTCGTGTTCGCCGTCGTTGTCGTCGTTGTTGTCCGACTGTTTCCTCTTGATCTCTTGATTGATCTCTCGATCTCAAGGCTGCAACTGCTTTGTCCTTGCTACTGGCCGAGAGAACGAATTGGGCTGGAGAGAGACCAAATTGAGCCCAAAGAGATGCTTAATTGGTCTGTAAAGAAAATGTGAAAAAAAAGATCATTTGGCGGGAAACTTGAGAGTATAAAATAAACCTTAAGGTCAGGAATATATGAGTGTATACGAAGCAATAATTGTTTTTTTTTTTGTAAGAATATAATTGTTTTTCTCAGCATGTGCATTTGTGTTATCCGATAATATTATTTTTGAATGAATAATAATCTCAATAATATTCATAATAAAATTAACAAAAATTAATACATGGGGCGACGACGGATCTTGTCGTCACTCATTAGTTGACCATTTTCTGACAAAAACCTTCATCTTCCTTCATACTCTGTACTTCCACAAGGTCACAATCTTGCTGAACAAAAAGCTCCGAATCCCATTCTTCCATGGCTGCTAAAGCTGGAAAAAGCAGCTCATCATCAGAAGGCAAAGTCCTTCTTCTTCTTCCCCTTTCCCTCTCCGCCATTCTACTGGTGTTGTTCCCCCATTCTCTGGCTGCTACTAATACTCTCACCCAAGGCGGCCCAACAATCAATTCCTCTGCCACCCTCGTCTCCCCCAACGGCTTCTTCACATTAGGCTTCCGGCCGATCCCATCTGCCGACACAAACGGAAGCTACCTCGGGATCTGGGACAATAGCTCCAACTTCTTCCCCTGGATAGCCAACCGAGACTTCCCCATCCTCGACGATTCTGGATCCCTGTCTCTGGACCAAAACGGGACATTAAAGATCACTTACTCTGCCAGCCGCACCTTCGAGCTCTACTCCTCTGCAAACCGCCGACAGAATTTGACCGCCGTGCTGGATGACACAGGCAACGTTGCCGTGATCGATTCCAGCGTTGATCCTCTGTGGCAGAGTTTTGATTTCTCGCCGGATTCGTGGTTCCCGGGGACGAAATTGGGCGTTTTCAGAAGCAGGAGCGGGATTCAGATTCGTCGCCGGCAGCTGACGTCATGGCTGAGCTATCAGACCGCGGTGCCGGGGCCTTACACGCTGGAGTGGGATCCGACCGCCGGCAAGGAAGAGCTGGTGATGAAGCGGCGAGGGGTTGTGTTCTGGACCAGCGGCAAGCTGTTGACGCCCAATAAATTCCAGAATCTCGACCTGGGTGGAAAGGGGTTGATTAATTTCAACGTTTCCCGCTTCTCGAACCCTCCCGGCGGCGAGGATTACTTGACCTTCTCTGCTTCTCAATTCAGCGCTCTGCATTTGAGATTCGACGGGGAGATTCAGGTCCAAACTGCAGGGGGGATCCCGGTGAGTGTAATGGACCCACAAGCCTGCGACGGGAACAACACCTTGAACGGGTGCCGGAGATGGGAAGGGCCGGCTTGCCGGAGGGAGAACGGCGGCCACAAGTTTGTGATCCGCGGGGGAAGGTTCAAGGAGAGTTTGGTGGACCGAAATGACAGCCTTAGTATCAGTGATTGTAAAGACAAGTGTTGGAAGGATTGTGAGTGCGTTGGGAGCGTGATGAATGGCAGTGGAGATCGTAATGAGACCGGATGTACGCTTCTGTATGGGGGATTTGAGGAAGTTCCTGGACCGACGACGGAGTACTTTCACGTCATTGTTGGTGGAGCTAACGGCGGAGGAAGATCACCGTCAGACGCAAATAGGAGAACAAGTGATCGTGGACAAACTCACTGGATATGGGTTTCGGCTTCTGTAGCAGGGGCTCTCTCGATCGTCATTGTCTGCATTTTCTGGTACCGGAGACGACGAAAACTCAGAGGTTTGTTTGTGAACTCAGCTTTCCCCCCTTTCTCTTTAAATAGAAAGTTCTTCCTTGTTGTTAAGCTTATACTCTGTTAATCGACATCTATAGAGAGGGTTCTAGCAGAGTTCATGGCATATGATGAGTCCAACGAGGCAAATAAGGTGGAAGATGATGGCAGCCGAGGCTCGGATCAGTTGAAAGTTTATACAATAGGGTCGATCATGACTGCTACAGGCAATTTCTCCCTGCACAATAAGCTTGGAGAAGGAGGTTTCGGACCTGTATACAAGGTAATTTCATTCTTCAATTGAGATGGCTAAAAAATGAATGTTAACTTCTTAACACTTAAGAAGATAGTGCATTCAATCATCATCATTGATGCTTTAGGGGAAAATGGATGACGGTATAAAAGTAGCTGTGAAAAGATTGTCAAAGAGATCAGGCCAAGGCTTAGTTGAGTTCAAGAATGAGCTTATACTCATAGCAAAGTTACAACACATAAATCTGGTAAGACTTCTAGGTTGTTGCATTCATGGAGAAGAGAAGATGTTGGTGTACGAATATATGTCGAACAAGAGTTTGGATTGGTTTCTCTTTGGTAAGTCGAAAGTATGTCAACAAGTGTTCTGATCTTTCTTTCTTATGACAATACTGAAGTTTGCGTGCTTTTGCCTCTTCAATACACGAAACAGATGAATCAAAGAGGTCACTATTAGATTGGACTAAGCGTTTCAACATCATCCAAGGGGTAGCTCAAGGGTTATTGTACCTTCACAAGTATTCAAGATTGATGATCATACATAGAGATTTGAAGGTTAGCAATATATTGCTAGATGAAAATCTGAACCCAAAAATCTCAGATTTTGGAATGGCGCGCATATTCAAAACAACCGTGTCAGAAGCCAACACACTCAAACCCGTTGGAACATAGTAAGTATTCTCCCCAAATTTCAAGTCTTCATCTCGTCTCACTTGTTCAAATTTAGTAAATAACGTTACGTTGTACAGTGGCTATATGTCTCCCGAGTACGCAATAAAAGGAACTTTCTCTACCAAATCGGATGTCTTTAGCTTCGGAGTCATGCTGTTGGAGATCGTGAGTGGCAGGAAGAACTATGATCTCATTCAACTAGACCCCCCGGTCGACCTTGCAGAATATGTAAGTTATGAGCTTTTTGATATCTGTCAATTTTTTCAAGTTAATTGAACACCAAGTTTAGAGGAGGGCTTTCCTGAAACCAATTATTTTCCTTGTTACGAACATGTAGGCATGGAACCTATGGAAGGAAGGTTCGCCGTTACAGTTAATGGATCCCACCTTGGAGGATTCCAGTAACTCTAAGGATCAGATACTCAGATGCATCAATGTAGGCCTGCTATGCATGGAATATAGTGCAATTGACAGACCTGAAATGTCAGAGGTAATTTCGATGCTAACCAATGAAGTCTCACAACTGTCCATACCACAACAACCAGGGTTCACAATGACAAGACTGCGAGACAAAAAGGCCAGCTCGAGCACCAGCGACTCAGGATTCTGGTCAAGCAATGAATTTACGATAACAAAGATCATTGCTCGATAGCTAGAGACATACAGAGGAAAGTCAAAGGATAGATTTATCCGTCGGTTCCTGCCTATTGTTGTTGTCAATCGCTTTCTCTGCATGCATAAATATGTCATATACACTGTTCAAATCCATAAAAGAAAATTCTGATACAAGTTGTTGGTATATAAAAGCCACAGTTTGGGTACTGTTCATTAGTGGCGCCCAAATGCTATCCTGCGACTGGGCTTCTGCCAATCGTTTCCTCTTAATTCGGCTACGTTGCCCACTGCTTCTCTCACACAAGAACCCCCTAATCCCTATTACCCCACTCGCTGCCGCGAACCTTTGGACCTAGCTTTTGTCCGTCGGATATTTCTTTGTACTCTGCAAATGGCCACTCACTTTTGCTCCTCCTCCTTTTCATACGCAACCTGCTCTTTCACTGTACTTTGTCTTCTCTTTCTTGCACGATGCACGCCATCTCCAACATTGGACACTGGGAGGAGAGACTTCCTCCCCTTTACATCCCCTTGCCTAGCCCTCTCCTACTCACAAAACCCACTCACAACACAGGAATCACAAATGAGAGGTCCCTGAACCCCGTTGTGCGAATCCTAGATCCTTCTTCTCTCTCCCTCTTCGGCAAAATACCAGGTCTCTATCTCTCTCCCGGCTATTGAAGAAGACGGGAATTGTTGGAGCAGAGGAAGATGTTGAGGAGGAGACCATGGAACTGGTGGGGTTCTTCATGGAGGAGACACGAAGGAACTTGGAACTCAGAGGAGGCCGGCATCATCGAAAGCGAGGTCTCTTTTCTCTCTCACTCTTTTCGGCAGAAGCCTAAGTCTCGATCTCTCTCTCCCCCGCTATTGACGAAGAGAAAGGAATCGTTAGCGCAGAGGAAGAAGTTGAAGAGGAGACCATGGCGTTGGTGGAGTTCTTCATGCAGGAAGACACGAGGGAGATTTGAACTCAGCGGAGACCGGCAACGCCAAAAACAACGCTGGGATAGACACCGCCGCCAGCTCGAGACCAGCAGTTCTTTATGGATAGGAGAAAGATGAAGAGATGAGGTCGGAAAATGGACAATCGTCCGGGTACGGCGGAAAGGTAGAGGAAAAGTTTCCTAGGTGCTAGCGCAACAACAACTGTGAAGTGGGAATGAGAAACAAGACGCGACGGCGCGATTATGTTGTATTTGGTGCGGGGAGAGTTTGGAATTCTGTGGCGGCCTCGACATTGCCAAGACGGAAATCTGTAAGTTCCAAAGAGAACCTACAAATGGCAGTGTAGTTACTGCATCTCTCCTGACTTCTGGCGACCATTAATAGAATGCATAAATCACATTCTTCTATCTCCAGTTTTATTATTGTGGTAGTGATATCTCAGAGCTAATTGCCTCTTTTCTTTTATAATTCTGGTTTTTTTTTGTGCGTGTGGGTTTGTGATGAAGGAGAATTGAGGGGGAAAGAGAGACGCAGGAGTTGGGGAACACTCATTGTCGAGACAGAGATAGAGTACAGAAATGAGCTTGGAGCACTGAAGAAGACCAAATTCATTTTCATTACATCAACAAGAATGCGCATAACAGCTGGGGTACCCTTCCTAAGGATGCAGGTTCTGTTCAGTAGAGGTGTTTCAGGCACTCATGCCAGGTCTGTCCCTCTTTTCTATGGTTTTTCTGTTCATTTTAGGTTTAGTAAGGCATATACAAGACTCTTTAATTCTGCTGCTCAATTGGGTAAATGTAGAATGGACGAGGATAGGGGAACCAATTACAACAAGTAAACAATTTATTGTTTAGTTTTGGGATGAATGGTTACAGTCTACATCTAGATTGTATTAGGTATATATAGATTTCAATATCCTTTCGAGTTATATCATTGTGATTATTTAGGAGATTGCATTGTGGAATTCATCGATAAAATCTCTCTGGTGGTTTTAAGAATGGAACTTTTCGGTGGTGTTGTTAGCTTCGTTGATTTGAATGAGGTATATGCTTGCTCTTAACTCCATTTACTTTTGTTGTATAAGTAAATACTGTCTTTCAAGCACCTATACAACCTGGTTGGTGCTTAACCCATCAACTCCTATCGCCTCAGAACTTAGAGCTGCATATATGTTCTTGACTTTTTTCAAATCCCAAAAGAACCCTGTTTTCGGGAGAAGATTTCATCCCTGCCACCCACTTCCAGCACACTTTGAAGGTTGCTACTACAACTTCCATTCAAACTGCCATTTCTAATTCATATAATTTATTTAAGCGTTGGAGCCCAAAGTAGAGAGCAAGGCTCATTAGTATGCCTATGAACCCTCAAGGTATCACGATTGAAGTGGTCTTCTCTGTGTTGCAGTTTCAATACAGCTTTATATCAAGTATTATAAACAAGTGCATGTTTTGGATATATTCTCTTTTGTGCATTTGAATTTAATTATGCACGTCTACATTGTTTGCTGGAAACAAACAGTTCATTTTACAATGTTTCCTACTTGGGGTTTCAGTTTCCTCTGTAGTTTCAAAAGGGAGTTCTGTGCTGCACTTTTTTACTCAAAACCCATAGTTTCAAAGGAAGTTAGCTCATTTACGGTTTCTTGTGATTCTCCAGTCATGCAGTTATTTCCCTCAACTATTAATTAAGGAAGCTATTTATCTTTGCTTGGAGGGTGAGTTTCTGGATCTCCTCTCCAGGTAACGTTCTTATTTCTGAATTGTTCTTCCATCTCATTAGGTTCTTGGTTCACCTTACGGTTTCTGTTGGTTCATCACATCCTAATTTCCTTATCTCTTGCTAATTTCTTTGTGTATAGGCGTCCTTCTGAGACCACAAACATGACCTCCTTCATGGGTTTCCACTGTAGAATATCTTAAAGAGGTAATTCCAGCAGGTAATTGTGCATTCCATTGTTTCCATCCTTTATTCTTTCATTCTCATGGATGACGATCTTACTATTATTTCTTGGTCTAGCTTTTCATAGTTTTTCTTAGACTCAAATTCCAACAATTTAGAATTTGTAAGGTTTTCTGGTAAGTATTTGGATTCGTGTTCGATGATAGGGTATTGATTGAGTTTGGAAGGCTATCTCTTGGCCAGCCATTTACTTTTATGTTTAGTTCGCTTGGCGGATTCCCCGAGTTTGCTGAGTTGTGTTTATCCTTGATACTTTTACCATATAGCTTGCACCTGTAACTCAAATTAGATCTAATCCTCTCTCAATTCATATTTCCTGCTTTTGTTGCAGAGTCTTCTCGATGGCAACTGCAGAATGGAACCAGCCTTATAGAGTGGGGGATGAAATGAAAAGCTGTGTCACTTTATTGTTCAGAGGTGTTATTCAACTACTGAACTTGCCACTTCCTACTCACTGTTGAATCTGCAGAGTAACTATCAGCACCCACCCAAACTAGAAAACCCGAGGGTAAGAAGAAAGAAGGAGTTAAATGATTAACAAACAATAGGATTGAAGAGAGGACATTGGTATTTTTTCAGGTTCACCAAGTTCAAAGCCTTGGAATCACTCTGTTTACATTGTCATGAATCTCTCATTGCCTTATGAAATGCCTTTTGTTGGTTTAGTAATGCTGCTGGTTTTATGTACATGGATCCATGGTTGTATTGACTTTTGCTCTTCTCCTTTATGATTAGTATCAGTATGTGCAAGCACAGCTTCTTTGTGTTTTTCTTTTCAGTTTTCCCATCCCACTCTTTATAGATCAAATTGCCTTAATTGCTTAAACAATGGCCCTGAAAATTATTATGTATTTCTAGGAGTCCAACACTAGAAGCATCATGCATCCGGCCTCCTGCTCTATCCTTGATTGCTTTAATCTTATATGTAGCTCCGATGCACTACTTTAATATATGCCGCCTGCAGAACCATTATTATTTACTTTGATAAACCAAATTGTCTTTTGTTAGTGTCAAAAAGTCCTTTGATTTACCACTTTGGTGGTGTTCTGTGTATTGATATCACTTATTGTCCGTATTCCCTAAGTTATGCCATGCTCAATGAACCTATGGAGTTCATTGAACCAATACTATGTTTTGCGGTTATTTGTAGATTAATGAACTAGAGTAATGTTTGCTGTTTCTATTTTTTTGGCGTAGTTTATTGAAACATACAGTCTTGATCATTGCAATTATAGATTTTGTGTTCCTACTGCTTCTTTAATTGTCACTTGCTGTAATGATTGCAAAGATTGTATAGGATTGCTACTTGGTTACCGATCTTGGACAACATCCGTTTCTCCTCAATCTCAGTCTCTATTGTTTTTATGAGTTTATTTATTGTCAATTGCAGATTTCCACATTGCCAATACAAAAACCATAAACTCCGCTATAATGAGGGGACTTTGCATATCATCCAGGTCCATCAATGTCAAGCGAAGGTAATTACCAGTCTTATGTGGATTTGTTAGGGTTAAATATATTTAACTTTTACATGTCTCTGCGTTATTGGTGCCATTGTAACTGGTGGGGAAGAGTTAAATACTGACTTCTTTCCATTAATTTATTGTGTATCCAAGAGCGGGTGTTGTTGAGAGGAGTGCCTCATCCAGGGATTTAACTAGAAATTGTCTTATGGAGGGTACGAGTAGAGAGCCTATATCAGTATATTGTGAAGTACCATGATGTGAGACTCACTTTTTTAGGGTGGTTAGAGAAGCTCTATTGCTTGACTTGATATTCTATTCTTCTCCCAGATGATACTTGCTCCACTTGCTATGCAAACACAAGGCATGCCAACAAGATGAAAGGTATACACGTACCAAAGCAAACATATAGACAGTTATCGACGCGATAGGCTAATACTAACTATTAAATTTACCCGTAATCAGTTACTTCTCAGTGGACGATGCTGATGAAACAGATCGGGACACATTCCTCATGAGTCATGAGGCAGCTGCAGCTTTGCTTCAAACAAGTCCTCGACGGGACGTCGAAACACCCGATGTGAAATACTTACCTAGACGGTGGAACATTAGTGCACGCTTTGAAGTTGTTTTGATTTGGCAATGTCATGCTGCTATATCTACTGAGAAATGCGCTAAACCAGCAAACCAGGTTCTCCACTTCGGAACGAAACATATCCATATCGATTGATGTTGCCATAATGTAACCAGAAAGCTAGATTGTGATTAGACATACTGTCCTATTTGCTTCAATATCCTGCAATTACAAACTATTCAAAGTCTCCTATAACTGATTGATCGATACCATCTCATTCAACCAACTCTTCCAAATTACTTTCACTTTTGAATTATCATTTACGCTTTAATTTAATTTGTCTTACTAATCAATAGGCGTAGAATGATTCATCATTACTGGATTTAGTCGTATGTATATTATGTTTCGTGCATGTTGATATTAAGTTTTTGCTTATACGCGAAGCGTAGCGAGCGGGTCCTTGCTAGTAATGTAAATAGAAGAGTTTCCTCCGTCTGAATACTGGCTAAATAACTGCAATCAAGACATTGACAATTGTGCGTCAGGTTCCCAAATATAATTGCACAGTAAGAGGAAAAAAAATCTCTCCTCAGCATTCTTGTGTGTTTTTGGCAAGACTCACGATCCAAAAATATAAATATGTGTCTCGGCGCCAATTCCAGAAAGAATTTTGGAGTGATCGAAAAGGAATTGTGAGGAATAATGAAATGGTTTTCTGTACATGTGCAGCATGCATGTGAAGACCTGAAATGGTTTTCTCAATCTGATAAACTATAATAATACCGGGGGAGAGACACAGGTCTTGTCATCTTGTGTTCCTAATTTGTTGACCCTTTTTTTTATAATCGAATTGAATAACAATTTCGCGTCACCTTCCATCTTAGTTTAGCCTAGTCGTTTAGTGTTTGCTCGATCAGAATCCAAATTTCATTTCAATGGCTGCAGGCTGCAGCAGCCCTTGATCTATTCCCCATTCTCATCCCCACCATTACTCTGTTGTTGCTGCTGCTCTGTTCTCATTCTTTGGAGACCAATACTCTCACCCAAGGCTTAAATGGCTTCTTCACGATGAGATTCTGGCGGTTCGGCTCCGCCGAGTCCGACGGGTGCTACCTCGGGATATGGCACATCAACGATGCACGCAACTGCTTCTCGATAGCCAACCCGGATTATCCGATTCCGGACAACTCAGGATTGCTCTCGACGACAACGGGACTTTAAAGCTCACCTACTCCGGCGGCCGCTACGCAGGGTAGCTTTACTCCGACAGCCGCCGCAGAAAATCCAGCGCTGTGCTCGAAGACAGCGGAAATTTCGTCGTGATCGACGATTCGGGGGATTTGCTGTGGCAGAGTTTTGACTCCCCCACCAATTCCTTTATCCCAGGGATGAAATTGGGAGTGGTTGACAATCAAAACCGGAAGTTGACGTCATGGTTGACGAACTTCGTCCCGGCGGCGGGGGCTTTCACGCTTGAATGGGATCCCGCCGCCGCCGAACTGGTGATGAAGCGGCGAGGTACGACATTCTGGACCAGCGGAAAGCAATTGGGTTACTGCATCCAGGGAGAAGAAAAGATGTTGGTTTACGAGTATATGCCTAACAAGAATCTGGATACTTTTATCTTCGGTATGTCAAAATTTAGTAACTACATTATTATAGTAAAGTGCTTCTTTGTTTCCTCTACAACATGTTTCATGCCACAATATTGAATTTAATGTGCTTGTGATTCTTCTATACATGACACAGAAGAAGTTACTATTGGATTGGAATAATCGTTTCAACATCATTGAAGGAATAGCTCAAGGTTTGTTGTATCTTCACAAGTACTCGAGAGTGACTATCATACATAGAGACTTGAAAGTTTGTAACATATTATTAGACGAAGCACTGGATCCAAAGATATCGGATTTTGGAATGGCATGCATTTTCAATGCAAATGCATATGAAGCTAACACAAACAGGGTAGTCGGAACATAGTAAGTAGTCTCTCTATTCGTCCACTCTTCTTAAAGAAATTTACTCTTCCTAGAATGAGCAGCGATCTCATAATCAAGACGATATATGGTGCAGTGGTTACATGTCTCCGGAGTATGCAATGAATGGCACTTTCTCTACCAAATCGGACGTGTTCATTTTTTGTAATTTCCACGTCATCTAGTTAACGGTCAAACTTTATAGTTGACTGCCACATAGGACAAATTTAACGGAGTGTAACGGCCGGTGACTAACGGTGAAGCGATTTGTAAAGTTAGTGGCGAATAAAAAATAGAAGTAATTTGAGTGGTAAAAGTGAAAGATTTGTTTAATTCGTGTGACCGAAATGTGTAACTTAACCCAAATTATCCTTTACTTTTGGGTTGTGATTTCTGAACTCCTGCTGAGAATGCTGTTTCATTGACCGTGGAAGAGATGCAGAGTTCATAATGCTTCCTCTGTGTTTGAATGTTGAAAAACCCGCCCGCCACAGGAGTTGTCCTTTTCCCACATTGCCTCGGTAAGATTGGAATTTTCGCGTCCCTGTATTGTATAGCCGTTAACATGATTAGTTCTTCTCTAAAAGACAAAACCAGGTGCTTGCTGGGTAAGCATTATGAAGCACACAAAATGAAGAAAATTGTGGATTGGCATGCAGGTAAGTTTCCGGATAGTGGACCGACCGCAATTGGTCTGATTAATTACCTTTCAACACGCCCCACCCACCGACCGGCCGATTTTCAAAAGGAAGAAAAGTGAAAAGCAAGCCCGATGCACTTTACTCGGAAACTTCTCACCGGAAGACCGATTGACTCACCAGACCATTAATCCGATTATAATAGTATCAGATTCCCCTCCCTCCACAACAGGCATTCCATCCAGGTGCTGCTGGAACCATAATATAATGGCTGCAGCAGCAGCGCGGCCAAGCAAAACCTTTCCTGTTCGTCGTCTTCTAATAATCCCGGCCATTCTGCTGCTTTTGCTGCTCTGCTGTAGCTCGCAAGCAGCCGACACTCTGACCCAAGGCGGCCCAGCCCTCGATTCCAACTCCACCCTCAACAGCCCCGGCGGCTTCACCTTAGGCTTCTCAGCGTTCAGCTCGGACAACTCCAGCTGCCGCTACTTGGGAATCTGGTGGATTGACCAGTACCTCTACTGGGTAGCCAACCGCGACTTCCCTATCTGCGACGACTCGGGACGCCTCGTCTTGGACCACAACGGAACCCTCAAGATCACCTACTCCGGCGGCCCACCCCTCGTGCTCTACTCCTCCTCCTCCAACAACAACAATAGAAACAGTAGCAAGAAACTGACCGCCGCGGTCGAAGAAAACGGCAGCCTCTCCGTGCGGGACGGTTCCAGTAATCTGCTATGGCAGAGTTTCGATTCCCCTACGGATTCCTGGCTGCCCGGGATGAAACTGGGGGTGGTCAATGACAGCGGCGGCCTGCAGAATCGGAAGCTGACGTCACGGCTGATCTATTCCATCCCGGCGAAAGGGTCCTTCACGCTGGAGTGGGATCCCAAGAGGGAGGAGCTGGTGGTGAAGCGGCGAGGGGTTGAGTTCTGGGCCAGCGGCAAGCAATTGGGGGCCGACAGATTCCAGAATATGGACCTCAGGGGATTCTCGGCACAGGGGATAGATTACAATGTGACACGTGTCTCCAGCCCTGCCGACGGCGAGGACTATTTGACTTTACGAGTTTCCAAAAACAGAAACAGCACCACGGGGTGGACCTTCAGCTACTTGCTGCTGGGCCACGACGGCCGGATCGCGGACGAAACACTCGGCGCTTCGGCCCTGGACCCGGATCTCTGCGACGGAAACAGCACGGAGAATGGGTGCGTGAGATGGCAGGGGCCGGAGTGCCGCCGGAGCAACGAAGACAGGTTTTACGTGCCGACGGATCGGTCCAGGCTCCATCGATGGGACGTGGAGGGGAATGGGAGTCTCAGCATCAGCGACTGCAAGGAGTGGTGCTGGAATCATTGCCAATGTGGCGGGGTCAGCTTAGAGAACAATTATAATGGCAGTGGATGTCGTTTTTACAGGTATGGGGACTCTTATACCGATTTGAGATATCCCACAGCAGACACGTATCGCCAAATTATCGGTAAAGCTCCCAGAAGATACGACTACGCTCCTTCCAGTAAGCTCTCAACCGATTCCCTTCTCTTGTGTTTGAAGTTGAAGAGAGGTATATATGTCGCTGACAAATCATAATTATTGGGTGCAAATGGGCAATACTAGTAGCATAAAAGATGCGATCCAACCAAACATACGGAAACGCCAAACTAGTTGGGCGCATTCTGGTCCTAATCCTCATATAGCTGCTGTTTTCTCTACCATTGCATTTGCAGCTGCCCCAAGTGCAGCCCCATCAGCAATTGATCCTCCGGATGCAGGAAAAGTCAAGAATAGTAGTGGGAAGTGGGTAAAGAAGAGCGGGAAGTGGGTTTTGGTTGGAATAGCATTGCCCCTAATGATCCTCCTCATACTTACCACGTTTTGGTACACGAGGAGGCGAAAACTCAGAGGTTTATGATTTTCTCTTTTGATTTAAGATTTTTTTAAGTTTCTCACGTTGGTTTGATTAATTTTTTTATTCGGCCAAGTTTTCCTCTTCTTTTAGCAGAGTTGATGGCTGCGGTGGAAGATGATGGAAATGGAGGGCATGATCATTTGACGGTTTATAGTGTGGCATTGATTATGACTGCTACAAATAACTTTTCCCCTCAAAATAAGCTTGGTCAGGGAGGGTTTGGACCCGTTTACAAGGTAAAACGTTGATTCAATTAGAACAGATTTCTTTTTTGTTTTAGGAAGAAAAAAAAAACTGGGCTAAATGGTTCATTATTTGGTATACTGTTGCTATCACTTGAGATCAATTTATCCAGCCGATCCAACAATGTATGAGCTTTTACATTTTTGTTTTGCTTGTTCTGTTGTCGTTGTCCTATGTTTGGAGATGATGTTTGGCCTTTATGTTTACGATTTGAAGAGTGTGTTAATATAGACCTTTTAACCCGTCAATAATTGACACTCTCCTTAAAATATGGTGAAACTGATCTCTCCTGCATGCGGGCTAACTAATATTGCATTATATGTGTGAATCACATAACATGCGTGTTTTTATTTTCCTTCTTTGTTGATGGTCGGTATGTAATAACATATGTGCCTCAGGGAAAACTACCAAATGGGTTGGAAGTAGCTGTAAAGAGATTGTCAGAAACATCAGGCCAAGGATTGATGGAGTTTCGAAATGAGCTAATACTCATAGCTAAGTTGCAACACAGGAACCTTGTTAAACTTTTGGGTTACTGCATCCATGGAGAAGAGAAGATGCTAGTATACGAATATATGGCAAATAAGAGTTTAGATTCTTTTATATTTGGTAAGTAATATATCTATATATTACAATTCTATGATGCCTTCTTACTACTAACCATGGGAGTTTGTTTCTTGTACCTCTTGTGCACATGACAGACGAATCAAAGAGATCACAATTAGATTGGAATGAGCGTTTCAATATTATTGAAGGAATAGCTCAAGGGTTATTGTATCTTCACAAGTACTCGAGAGTGAGGATCATACACAGAGATCTAAAAGTTAGCAACATATTGCTAGACGAAAAACTTAATCCAAAGATCTCAGATTTTGGATTGGCACGTATTTTCTATACAAATGCTTCCAAAGTTAACACAAACAGGCCAGCCGGAACATTGTAAGTCATCCTGAGTTCCTCTACTCTTTACATTTCATTACTCTCTGCCCGGACGAGCAACTTTACATCAAACTAGATGTATGGTGCAGCGGCTATATGTCTCCAGAGTACATCGTGGAAGGTGTTTTCTCCACAAAATCTGATGTCTTCAGTTTCGGCATTATGTTGCTGGAAATTGTAAGCGGAAGGAAAAACTATCGTCTCATTCAACAAGATCCACCGATCAACCTCGTTGGATATGTAAGTTTCTAGCTTCTATTTAGTTATTGGAATAAAACTTGCAATTGGAAGAAGATTGTTCTAATTAAAAACTAGCTTGATTACTCACTTGTTTGTTACAAATGTATCTGCAGGCATGGAAGCTATGGGAAGAAGGCACCCTATTACAGTTAATGGATCCATTCTTGAGCAATATCGATAACTATAAGGACCAGATACTTAGATGTGTTACCGTAGGGCTACTCTGCATTGAATACAAGGCAGAAGACCGACCGTCAATGTCAGAGGCAATATCAATGTTAAATAATCAAGTTGCATCATTGCCCATACCAAAACAACCTGGCTTTACGACGAGGCCGGGAAGTATTGGTTCTGAGAGAAGGAACCTGCCAAATAAATGTTCAGACAATGAGGTCACCTTGACAACAATGTGTGCTCGATAGGTAGACATCGAGGATTTAATAACTTTCTTCTTCTTCTTCTTTGCTTCTAGTATGGATCTTAGTAATTAGTATAGCAATACGTAGTGTTCTCTGAAGGAAATACGAGTATCATAAGTCATAACCAGATAAAAATATTATTTATATTAATTTGATATATGTGTTAATTTTCCCTATGTTAAAAGGAACTAATTTATTGCATATCTTCGATTGAGTCATGAGAGTTTGACCAAACAGAAACTACAGGTCTAAAGACCAAATTGGCTTAAAGAGAAACTATAATATAATAGGGAGCTTCTAGTCCTAGATTATATTACTAGACGAGAATCTGAAATCCCAAAATCTCGGATTTTGGTATGACACACATTTTCAATACTAATACATTGGAAGATAGCACAAATAGGCTCGTCGGAACTCGGAACATGATAAGTAGCTTCTCGGATGTCCTCACCCACCATACTATGTTTACTTCAGTGGTGGTCACATTTTTTTATCATGTATAAGTTGGAAGGATCCCTAACGTATTAGGATTGCTTGAAAATTTAGTAATTAATTACATCTAACTATGTGACACAATGATTATATGTCTCCTGAGTATGCCATGGATGAAACCGTTTTATTTTGTGTTGTATGTATCTTAATTACCCTCCCTACAAAATATAGAATTAACTTAATTATTAATAATCTAAAATCTTTTTAATTATAAAATCTTTTGAATTAAATCTAAAATATTTAATTTTTTCTTGTTTACAAGAGTGGTCTTCAAACTTTTGAACTGACTGGAAAATCACTCTGCCTATTATCGCTATATGCAGAGAAGTTATTAGCCGAGTTTATACCATCAGATACACCAATTGAGATGAACGACATGGAAAACTAGGGCAATCGGGGACATGACCATTTGACGGTTCATAGTATGGCATCGATAATTACTGCAACAAATAACCTCTCTTTGCGGAATAAACTTGGACAAGGAGGTTTTGGGCTTGTATACAAGGTAAGTTCTTCCATCGATGCTATTTATACGTACTTCTCATAGACTTTGGTTTACAAATTCAAGCTAATATCATTGTTATTTTAGGGAAAGTTGTCGAAATGACTAGAAGTAGCTGTGAAGAGGTTATAAAAAACATCGGGTCAAGGGATGGTTCAGTTCATAAATGAGCTCATATTGATAGCTAATTTACAACATAGATACCTGGTCAGACTTCTGGGTTGTTGCATCCATGGAGAAGAGAAGATGTTGGTGTACGAATATATAACAAAAGCTTGGATTCTTTTATCTTTGGTAAATTTGACAATATCATGATGTGTAGCATAGTTAAAGTTGTGTGTTTCATTCTTGATTTCGTGAATGTTCTATGTGACAATATGTGGGTCTTTTATTTTTTCGTTCATGACACAGATGAATCGAAGAAGTTGTTTTTAGATTGGAATAAGCGTTTCAACATTATTGAAGAAATAGCTCAAGGATTGTTGTACCTTCAGGAGTACTCTAGGGTGAGGAACATAGGGATCTAAAAGTTAGTAACATACTATTGGATGAGAATTTGAGCCCTAAGATCTCGGACTTTGGAATGGCACGCATTTTCAGCACAAATGAATTGGAAGCTAGCACAAACAAGCTTGTCGGAACATAGTAAGTGGTCCGCAAAGTTCCCCCACTCGTCATACTATCATTACTCTAGTTGTGGTCAAGTTCTTGATATAAGTTTAAAGGATAGCTTACGTAATAGGATTAATTAAACCTTTAGCAACTAATTTTGTGGTGTAGTGGTTATATGTCTCCGAAGTATGCTATGAATGGCACATTCTCCACCAAATCAGACGTATTCAGTTTCAGAGTTATGGTTCTAGAAATAGTGAGCGGCATGAAGAATTATGGCATTATTCAGCTCGACCCCCCTATCAACCTTGTTGGATATGTGAGTTTCTCTCTTTGTTTTCTCTGTTGCCTTATTAAGTAAAATACAATTGAACTTGAGGAAAAACATTATGGAATGTTTCTTGTATCAACTGGCGTTCCATATTTCAAATGCTCCTTGCATGCATGGAAGCTATAGCAAGAAGGCGCCACATTACAATTGATGGATCCAACATTGACGGAATCCAATTCTATTAAGGACCAAATGATAAGGTGCATCAATATCGGGTTACTCTGCATAGAATCATATGCCCATGATAGACCAACGATGCCAGGTGTAATAACAATGCTAACAAGTGAAGGCATACAATTACCCCCACCAAAACAACCAGCAGTCACAGTAACTAGACCGAGAAGCGTTAGCACAGAGAGTAGATCAAGCACCATCAACCCGTTCAATCAATGAAGTCACCATGACAACGGTAAGTGGTCGGTAATATGAATTTTAATATATGTTCTCTATTTCCATAGAAATGCTCCAACATTCCACTTCATGTAAAAGGTTAAAGTTACCGTTGCGTCAGTCCGAGGTGGAATTTACAAACATATATGATCCATATATATTTTTTTAGTGTTAGGGGCCATTCGCTTCATGTATTTGAAAACCAAATCTCAGTCATTTTGAATTTATCACATCTATTGTTTTTTTTAAGAGAGGGAGCTAAATCCGCGTGGCTCACATATTTGAAAACTCCACCTTGTAGTTGTAGAGTGGAATTTATTGGCTACTCATGTTATGGACTTATGGTGTCAAAATACAACACCTTCTTCCCCTTAATAGCCGCTTATTATCACTCCTTAAACTTAGTTATTATCACTTGCATAATTGCATGATTATTATAGTTTTTGTTATCGTATCTAATATTTTTAATAAAATGTGGCCAAATGTTCTATTATGTTCTGGATTTGCAGCTATGCATGTTTCCCTTCACTAGATTTCAATCAGTTCCCTTGTGCTGGTACCTGTACGGCAGCTAGTCGTCATCATCCGTGTTCGCCGACCTTGTTGTTCAGTTGTTTCCTCTTTCTCTCTCGATTGATCTCTGGAGCTTAAGGCTGCACTCAGCCTCTGCTGCAACTGCTTTGTCCTTGCTACTGGTCGAGAGAACGAATTGGGCTGAAGAGACAACAAATCGAGCCAAAGAGATGCTTAAATGGTCTGCAAAATGTAAAAAAAAAAAATATATCATTTAGTAAGTTGCCCCCTACACTTCATAGTTCCTTTACCTTTTGTCTAGTGGGATGAACCTTGATTAAATGTTACATCAAACGATGCAGTGGATAACTGGATATATGTCCCCAGAGTACACCATGGACAATACTTTCTTCACCAAATCCGATGTCTTTAGTTTCGGGGTTATGCTATTGGAAATTATTGGCAGCATGAGAAACCATGGCCTCATTCAATTGGATCCCCTATCAACCTCGTGGGATATGTAAGTTACTTGCTTTTGATTTTCCTTTTGTGTTGAAATTTTTAGGTGATTGAAGTCAATAATTGTGAGATGCACTTACAGGCATGGAAGCTATGGAAAGAAGGCACCCCATTGCAATTGATGGATCCGACATTGGGTGATTCACTTACCTATAAGGACCAGATACTTCGATGCATTAATGTCGGTATGCTTTGCATAGAATATAATGCATACGATCGACCAGATATAACAGAGGTAATATCAATGCTAACAAATGAAGTAGCACTATTGCCCAGTCCAAAACAACCGGCTTTCACAATGTCGAGACCGAGAAAATTACGCTCAAACTCCCCCGACCAGAATATCTATTCAACAAATGAAGTCACCATAACTACGATGAGTGCTCGATAGAAATGAACGATGAGAAAATCGATCATATTTCTCCTTTAAGTGTATTCTTTGTAATTACTTGTTCAATCTAGCTCTTCAGATATCTTCTCACAAGTCTTATGACATTTTTTTATCATTTAGTTTTAAAAATTCCTCCCTGCTACTCTAATTACGACAAAAAGGATCTAACAAAACAAACACAGTCATGTCCATCGTCATAACCGATAGATGATTAATGATTTAATGTTGATTAGTCAATTATTAGGCTTTTATTTGAAGCAATCGGCTGCCATGTTATTGTCCTGCAGATCGTCGTTGACCATCTGAAAGCAAAACCCTTCATTTCCTTTCTAATTAAAGCTCTGGCCTCTGAGATCTCACTGCAATGTCGGCAGCCCAAATCAGAAGCAGAGCAACCCGCAAAAGAACCCTTTCCATTTTCATCCCAACAGTTCTGCTGCTATTTTCAATTCCTTCTTCTTCTCTAGCTGCCAACACTCTCACCCAAGGCGGTACAGCTGTCAACTCCTCCGCCACCTTGGTCTCACCAAACGGCCTCTTCACGTTGGGCTTCCGGCGGTCCGCCGTTGGAAGCTACCTAGGGATCTGGTACATCAATGCAACCAGCGGCTTCTTCTGGATTGCAAACCGAGACTACCCGATCCGCGACGGCTCGGGATCGCTCTCCCTTGACCAAAACGGGACGTTGAAGCTCACCTACTCCGGCGCCGCCGCCGCAGTCAATCTCTACTCTGACAGCCGACGGAGGAGACTAATCGCCACGCTCGATGACACGGGCAATTTCGTGGTAAGCGATGTCGATTCAGGGGATTTGCTATGGCAGAGCTTCGACTCCCCAACGAATGCGTGGTTTCCCGGGATGAAATTAGGCCTCGTCGGCGGGGAGAACAGGAAGGTGACGTCATGGCTGACCGAGTCCATCCCGGCGGCGGGGGCTTTTACTCTGGAGTGGGACCCGACAGCCGGGAAGGAAGAATTGGTGATGAAGCACAGAGGCGTGACGTTCTGGACCAGCGGCAAGCAATTGACCCCCAACCGATTCGCGAATCTAGACCTCAGGTTGCAGAGGGTGAATTACAACGTGTCCCGTGTCGTCGCCGGCCCCAACTCCGATTACCTGACGTTCAGGGCTTCCACCAACGACTACAGCTCCGCCAACCAATTGAGCTTCACGGTAGTGCGATTGAGGTACGACGGCGTGGTTGAGGATGTAAGTACGAGGATTGTGATTCTGCAGAGTGAGGATTGCCACGGAAATGAGACGGAGAATGGGTGCCGGAGATGGGACGGCCCGGACTGCCGCCGGAGCGGCGATGGTTTCCAGATTCTGTGGGGCACGTTTAGTTTGGGTCAATGGGTGGATGAGAATAGTAGCATGAGCATCAGCGATTGCAAGGAACAATGCTGGAGAAACTGTGAGTGTGGCGGGATTAGCTTGGATGGGGTTAACCGTAATGGCACTGGATGTCGGTATTTCAGGACCGGCGGATTCGTACAGTTGCCGAATCAGGAAGGAGAAGACCGGTATCATGTTATTGTGGCCGGAGAACGTCAAGCCGATACTTCGAGTAAGTAAAGCTATAAAGCTCTAAATAATTCATTTCCTTCTTCCCCTGTTTTTTCATTAAGTTGCTTAAGAACGCGTGTGGTGGTGTTTGATTTACAGATGCATCACGGATTAAGTGGATAGCGGTTTCTGTGACTGCGGCCGTGACGGTGCTGATCTTCGCACTCTGCATTTTATGGTTCCAGAGAAGGCGCAAGCTTAGAGGTTTGGTGATCTGTTGATGCTACGGAGTCTTATTGTATCTTGACATTGAATTGATTTGTGATCTTCTCAGGTTATCTTTGTGTGTGCAGAGAGGCTTTTAGCAGAGTTGATGGCCACTAATGCACCAAGTGATGGAGATGAGATGGGTGATAATGGTGATCAGAGCCACAATTTGAAAATCTATAGTGCAGCGTCGATCATGATTGCTACAGATAGCTTTTCCCCGCAAAACAAGCTTGGAGAGGGAGGTTTTGGACCTGTATACAAGGTGATCATTCTTTTCATCCACCCATTGCATTTCTTGTAGCAATAGTAGCCAAGAAATATGCTTCAACTTGGACTTCTAGACATGACTTGCATAAGTTTACATTTTTTATGTATAAGGGGAAATTGTCGGAAGGACGAGAAGTAGCTGTGAAGAGATTGTCGAAACGGTCTGACCAAGGGCTAGTTGAGTTTAGAAATGAGCTCGTACTCATAGCTAAGTTACAACACAGGAACCTTGTCAAGCTTCTAGGTTGTTGCATCCATGGAGAAGAAAAGATGTTGGTGTATGAATATATGCCTAACAAGAGTTTGGATTCGTTTATCTTTGGTAAGTCGAATTTATGTTGCTCTTTCTTTTCTTTTGGTTATAGAGGTTTCAACCTTTCATGTTAAGACACTAAGTTCGTGTGCTTGTGGCTCTTTTAACACATAACACAGACGAAACAAAGAGAGTACAATTAGATTGGAACAAGCGTTTCAACATCATTGAAGGAATTGCTCAAGGCTTGTTGTACCTTCATAAGTATTCGAGAGTGACAATCATACACAGAGATTTGAAAGTTAGTAATATATTACTCGATGAAAATCTTAACCCAAAGATCTCGGATTTCGGGATGGCACGTATTTTCAAAACAAATACTTTGGAAGCCAACACGGCCAAGCCCGTCGGAACATAGTAAGCCATCCCCTAGTTTCTACTTTCCCACGTTCTTTACTATCATGAAATTAGCATCTTATATTCGAATTATGTTGTGTAGTGGGTATATGTCTCCGGAATATGCCATCAAAGGCACTTTCTCCACCAAATCTGATGTCTTCAGTTTTGGAGTCATGCTGCTAGAAATTGTGAGTGGCAAAAAGAATTACAACCTCATTCCATTGGATCCCCCGATCGACCTCGTGGAATATGTAAGTTATAAACTCTATTCTTATTATTGAAATTTTGTTGAGTATAAAGAAATGACATGCATTAAACTTCAGACTCCCTTAGGGAGAAAGATTGGTATTTTCTAAAACTAATTGCTCTCTTGTTTGCAAACTTGTAGGCATGGAAGTTGTGGAAAGAAGGTTCTCCATTAGAGTTGATGGATCCAACCATGGAGGGTTCCGATAATTATAAAGACCAGATACTTAGATGTATCAATGTAGGACTGCTCTGTATAGAATACAACACATACGATAGGCCAGAAATGTCAGAGGTGATATCGATGTTAACTAGTAATGTCGTACAATTGCCCATGCCAGAACAACCAGGATTTATCATGACCAGACCAAGAAACCACGAGGGAAGCTCAAGCACTAGTGCCTCGAAATTTTGTTCGAGTAATGAAGTCACCATAACAATGATGGTTGCTCGATAGTTTGAAATACTGCATGATGGATTTATTCAAACTCATAGATTGACCTTTTTTTGTAAGTGTGTAAAAATGATAAATTATATATTTCTATTTCTGGCAACAACTTAAATTATTTACAATCAAGGTTCAAAAAGCCGCTAGACGCAAAATAAGTGTTAGGGTCTTGCTAAGCGCCTAGTCGTTGACTAATCATGCTTAGACATTAGAAGCAAAAAATAACATTTTTATACTAAATGATGAATGAAAGAGTTGTTTTACAACACTTTTACTTCACTTCAAATGATTAAAAAATAACTTAACACTTAACAATATGAAAAATAGATCGTAAGTTCACAAAATACAGTGACGGAGGCAACATTTGAAACTATCTTTGTCCTCTTTTCATAATAAATATATAAAGATTTAATTAAAATAATTATATCCAAATAATTCATTCATAGATAATAAATAACCGACTAATACAATCGTTAATTAAAGGGACTGGTCAGCCTATTCTTGAACCTCTTCAAACAAATCGAATTACTATAAAACCAACTAGTTCTAAGATCATTCTTTACGTGCAATATGAGGTAATTCCAATTGACTAAACATGCCACAAAAGCTATAAACTCGCACTAGTTTCTGCCTTGGTATATACCAACCTTCAAGACAAATGTAGTTTAGTTCTCCACGTTTCTCCAATGACCTTCTGGGGTTGAGGATTATCAGGTCCTCTGTCCCTCTGCCCTGATGTAAAGTACAGCCATCCATCCCAGTACCCAACAAGGGTCGTCTTTACCCGGTAAGGAAGCTTTCCGATCACTGACCAGCTCTGGAAATTTCAGCAAAGAAAGATCCTTTAAAGACCGAAGTCATACGTGCACAAATGGAAAGAGGAGGAATGGATTACCAGTGAGTCGAGATGAAACTGAAAGACTTCCCCAACCAACATCATCCTCTTGGTTTGAGGGTGCTTCTCTGTTGTGCCGCCAGCAATGATGATTGAATTGTTCACCACTGCCCACGCGCACTCGATATGAGAGTTTGGTTTCGGCATTAGTGGCAGAGTTTGCCACTTCATGGAACCGTCTAGCATGTAAACATCGCCATAAACCACCTGAAACGTTCCCAGAGATGTGCATAAGCTCCACAAAGTACAATGAACAAGCTTCTTGGTTGATGATTGTATCATCGTTTACCTCTTTCCTTCGAGAGCATTTGAAGATGGGTGAGTTGGGTTTGGGCATGAAATCACCCTCCTGGCCACCAATTACGAAGAGCTTATCATTTACTACAACACAACCCCTGATCCAAGAAAGAAAGCACCATATATGAATAATCTAATACTGTGAAGCACAAGCTTCTCCTGTCTTATGGATCATTCAAGTTGGTTACTGCCAAAAGATAATTAGTTACCTGTGTGGTCCACCACGAGGGATAGGCACCTCGCTCCGCCATTCCTTCTCCAAAGCTCTGCCATCCTTCACAGCAATGCTCCAGTGCTCAACTCCAGGAGTATGGCGATTCTCCTTGCTTCCACCCATCACATGGAGCCTCCCTCTCCACAACTGTGTGGCTGGTGCATACCTGAAAGAAAAGGAATCATGTTCATGAACTTTCTCCTCAATAGTTCATCAGCACATCATAAACTAGTCATGAAGGCTACCATACAAACCTGGGAGCTGGTAACCGAGGCAAGCTGCTCCATTGCTTTGTTTTAGTGTCCAGAGAGTAACTAAGAGTTATGGCTGTTCTGCATTGAGGACCTTTCTGGCCCGAGACAATGTACACGAATCGCCCATCAGTCGCCACTCCCAAGTGGGAATTCGCCATCTCTCTAGGCGTATCGAACCTGTCTGACCATTTGGTCTCACTCAAATTGAACACATCTATATGGGAATGCACCTAACACAATACAGTGCATCACAAATGAATCATCAGCCATTGCTACATAAACCAGAAGAAACCCAAGCACTAAGCACTAAGCAGCAAACTCACATTGTCAAGATTGCGATACCCAACAAAAACATAGAGAAGATCATTGATTTGAACAGAGTACCCATCCAGTCGAGGCACAGGAGCTGAATCCATTTGTTCCCAATCCAACTCAGGCGCCGATAGATCAGCAAATGTCGCTGATAAAACCCTCCCATGCTCTCCTTCCTGCCAAGAGATTCAATTTTGATCACAACCCAGACCTCAAAAACAAGCTTAAGAATGAAATTGAATGAAAATCCGGCACAGAGCAAAACCTTGGAACTGTTGTGAACAAAGGGAGCAGGTACCACATACTTGTTGCTATTAGGTTTCTCAAGAACCCAAATGGAAGCAACTGATCGATAAGCTGAAGAGACCGAAGAAGAAGATGCCCAGAAGGCATCGGCTACCAGAGCAGTAAGTAAAAGGCAAACGAACATCAAAAGAAAGACGAGCTTAGTTGTAGATACGCCGTGGCCGTGGTTGTGGTGGCGGTGAGTGTGCCCGCCGAATCGCGCTGCCATTCGTAGTTATGCAAACCGGAGGGAAGAATAACGTCCGTGGTCGTGAAGAAAGAATCCATTTTTGTTATTGCTTTCTGAAGTTGATATAGGAGGAAAGAAGTAAACAGAGAGAACGCTTAGCAATGGCGGTGCATTGTCGGGGAATGGCGGAAGTAACAAAAGAATAAAAGTTCAGGAATTTGACGGTTTCCGAAAAAGTATTGGCTGCCGCCAGTGGTTTTCGGATTCTGGAGTTTCTGTCTCTGTTTCCCGTTTAGTTTTCCCCGGAACTTTTCGAGGTGCTCGATAATGGTGGAGATTGGAGAAGCAGCACATGGGGAAAGGGAAAATTGCCGACTCCGGCGGGCCTGAAAATGGGCCTTGACAGAAACATGTGAGGTCCAGACTTCATAATTTTCAGATTTGAGCCTTGGGCCTATATAGAGTGCGGTGTTGGAGGCCAACTAATTTAGTGGCCTGCTATGCGTTTGTCACCTCGGAAGTTGTGGAGGTTCGACTATGATTCTTGGTTTCCTAGTTTATAGAGTATTTGTGTAAGGATATGATCTTCTCCTCTGATTGATAGTGGTTTAATGTCAAAAAAAATTTATGATAGAGAAATTCGTTAAAAACGATAAATTTCATCTGTTTAGATATGTGGCACACCAATGAAAATGATTTATATAGGCACGACAATATTATCGAAGATCATTAGGTGGTTTGATCGAAAAATTCACTTGAACCACACACTTTAACCCTGTCATTACATTGTGGATGGATGTGGGTTCCAAAACAGATTACCCACTGAACATCGTATGAATAATGAATTGACGGAATGCGGTTGAGCCACGACCCACCAAACATTTAAAAATCCAAATATATAGATCCTCTTATATTTTATTAAGTAATTTTGCCAACATATCATTAGTGTGAAGATTTAAAAAAAAACGTTTGAATCACATCAGATACATGGCAATATTCACACAAGGGAACAAATTCTTGATTGAGTTTGCATTTAAAATAAATATACCAATTTATAAAGTGACCCCTATAGAAATCAATTATTATTTTCCCTCACTAGCTCAAAAATTAATCCTGCTGTTAATTAATTGCATAAAGAGATCATCTGCCAAAGAGGACAACTCTCTGTCGTTCATTCCCCTACAATTACTACAGATATCTTTATTTAGCCACACAAATTAGGAAAAGGATTGGCCCAGAAACAAAATTGCTTTTTCACTTTCCATATCCCGTAAGGATTCCCGAAACCCCTTTTCCGTTGCTGGTTAGGACAAGGAAAGCACAATAATAACAATATAAATGCTGCTCAGTCGATAGTCTTTACTTCCGATTCTTTCCCATCTCTCGGAGTCTCTGGTACCCTTTCCTTTTCGTGTTTCACGACAATGAAGCTTCGCAGTGAATTTAAGGCTGCCAACGCTTCCGGCTCTCTCTGGGCGGAGATCGCCGCTCATTTCTGCTTGCGGAGGAGCCGCCGTCTAAACCCTGCTCTGAAACCTGCGTCCCGGGACCTCCTGGCGCTGCCGCCGTCCGTTCGTTGTCGGAAGAGGAAGGTCGGTGGTGATTATTCGCCGTCGGGTGATGAGGAGGCGCAGGCGAAGAGGGCTCGGAAGGAAGAAGAAGAAGAAGATGGGTTTCATGCTCCGGCGAATTCCGAAGGGGATTTAACTGATGCAGCGGAGAGTGATTCGGGTCAAACCGGGAACGAAAACGAGGCTGCTTGGGGAGAACGGGAAAAAGAAACGACGCCGTTGCCTGCTCCGATTTCGGAGGTTTCGACGGAGGAGCAGGGCAAAAATAACGAGGCGGATCCAGAACCAGAACAAGAAATTTCGGGGGAGGAAAAGGGGGGAATCGACGTCGTTCCTGGAGAACATCATGATGAGACGACGACATTATCGCCTTCAATTCTCGAGGTTATGGAAATTGAGGAGAAGAATTCTACGGAGCGAGTGATTGCGGCAGAGGAGGAGATTTGCGTCGTCAACAGAAGCCCGGCCTACAGCGACATTTCGCTCGACGATCAAAGTGAAGAGATGAGAGAGGATTCGGAGGGAACGATGAATTCCTCCGATGAAGTTGCCGTCGAGGAAGAAATCGACGAGCTTCCCCCGTCGCCGATGCCTATTTTTTGTGTTTCCGAAGCAGAGAAGGATACAGAGCAGGTGAATTTCAGCGATCCATTCTTGACAGGGCCTCGACTCCATTTCGCGTTGGATAAGGGAGACGCTGGAAAGATTAATTTCGGGAAATCGGTACTGAAGGTGAGAGATTCCCCGACGGTGAATTACGGTGGCTGCGGCAATGGTGGGAGGAGGACTTTCCGACGAACGGAGATTTTCGCGGGAGAGGATTACAGCAGGATGGAAGTGGTGTGCCTGTACGAATCGCTTAGTTTGCCAATCGGGTGAGTATTATGGGCCGGCCTATTAGCCCAAAGCTCAAGTCCACGCATGAACCAACAAAAGGCCCACTAATCAGGCTGGAGCCCAACCGATGGGTAGACACAGACACACAGTAGCTAAACATGAGTCTATGTAAGATGTGGTTTGAACATGGAGTTTGAATCCGATACTTTCTGTAACATGTAACATGTTTCTTTATATTTCCTTAAAAGCTCATTAAGAGAATTTAATTGCCAATGAGATCACATTTGTTTGATGGAGTAAACTATTAGCTTAATCGGGTGCCTATTGTATGGTAAATATTGTATTATATTGGTGATTGGAATATATATTTGTATTGATTGGATACCTTATTCTAATTAATAAAGTAAACACATGCATTCGTTTAATAAAAATGAGATATTTTGTATATGTGGAAAGTAATCTAGCTCATTAGAGTTTGTAAATGGTTTGAGGTATGTCATAAAATCATATCATAAACTTATTAAGTTGTTTTTGACAATACGTGCAACGAAGGACAATCGACAAAGTAAGAAAGCAAATGGCATAAAGATTTATAAGATTGGTCAATACAATGTATGCATGTTAGTTACTTCATGAGCATTGAGAGAAACTGTGACTCTCTCAAACATAAGATAAATAGATTGCTCAATTGCATACCAACGAAATCGTACTAAAAAATTCACTAGTTTTCTTGTAGCTGTGATGACTATCAAGTTACAGTTTCTCACATGTACGAAAGGAATAACATGTACACAAACCTTGCAGGTGTGGAGCATAATGTATCTTTGAATTCACATTGTATATATTTACCAACTCGTAATTTTATGCACCCATTGTATTTACCTTGAATTGAAAAGGAAGCATGCATTTACATCCAACAATGAGAAATCAAAATAAATAAGGTATCAACCTTAATATAAAACAAAAGGTTTGAAATATGAAATTAGAAGAAATTGAACCAATAAAAATAACATCTTAAAGTGGTCAGATCAAATATCATGAATTCTCAACATATTATTTTCTCTCATTTTTAGCACATATATGATCATATGCAATTAGTGATCCATAAATTCCCTAAACCAGGGTCGGATTAAGACCAAAAATATATAATAAAAAATTAACCAAGATAAAAGGAGAATAAATAAAAAATCTACATTACTACAGACGAAGCTCAACACACCCCAAAAATAGAAAAATTGTCTGCCATCGAAATCCGATTCCTCCGTGAATTCACTGTTGAAACCCTAATTTTGTAGTGGCGTCATTTAATAAAATGAACAATTGAAAAAATTTCTTAAAGTTCGTGGTGAAGAATAAATAAATCTAAGTCCCGAATGGAATACATGAGCAACTAACCTCGACAATTTTGCATATAAAAATAGCCGCTTTTGGCTTATTATTCAACAAGTCGTTATTGAATATTGATCTCTTGTGTTGTGTAAATATTATTAAATAAAATGAATTGATGGTGCCCTACGATGCAAATCACTCGCTTTTGCATTAATCTCATTTTCCCCCATCTACTCATCAAATCAAATTGTGCCTACACCGACCTAATTTTGAGCTAGCCTTGGCCCACTCTAGACACGACTTTGTGAGCAACCCTAATAAATTAAATTTACACACCAATAAAAGTCAATTAGTACGGTATTACACCCACTTTTTATAACGATAATAACAACATATTGAAGATACGGTTGCATTTAAGTATATATTGGGTGGTTTTGAAAATTGGTATTCAACGTGTGAAAATTTCCAAGACACCAAATCATATAATCTTGAGTATACAAGGTAGGACGTATTTGTAAAATTGGTATAAAGAAAGTGTAGTTTCGTGTATAAGTGTTGGGCATAATGATATTTTCTTACACATACAAAGATCACATAGTAACATGCAAAACTAATCTACATAGAATTGACACAAAATAAGCAAAACTTGATTGTTATGGCGTACTTTAACGGTTAGATATCATTCGTTTCATTTTTGTAATGGAGGAGGCGATAATATCACTATTTAGGTTTGTGCATTTGCAATAGCTCCACCTTGAATATCTATGATATGATGAATGTCATTATAATATAACTGCATTACCATAATGCACTAGGACGGGATCTCTTGGATTCCATCTTCTATATAGGATTTATTTCAAGTTGATACAAGTAGGACATAGTTGTCAAATATGAATACCGACAAACTCCATGAATTTGATATTGAAAACAATTGTTTTTGCACCGAACTTCACACAAACTTGATTTCTCAGTTATACATAAAGTTTGACATGATTTTAAGATTTTATCTACCAGAAATGTACCCATAAAAAATCAAAGTATATAAGGATGTTGATTAAATTAACATTTTCAACTTAAACCATGCAAAATAAATTAATAAAATTAGATGTGAAAGAAAGGTATGCGAAACACTTAAAAACATTCGATGTGTATACGGTAATGGGCCCGGGAAAGATAAGAGGCGACGGAGGGAAGGAAGGGACCCCAAAAGTGTGGGATGGTGGTGCACCAAACGCCACCTAAATCTCAATTTCCTTTTCCCCAAAAACCTCTCCCAGTCGGGGAAGCAAAAAATGCACCCCGTCGACGGGGAACAAAATTTGCAGCCAATGGTAGTCACCATCGAGGAGAGAACGGCTGCAAAATGGATAGGGGTACAGTTTTAGCGAGAACACGCGAGAACTGGGAGATCGAGCAGAGTTCTTCTTCTTAGCTTGTTACCACGCCACCACGTGTTGTACATCTCCTTCTCTTTCTCCTTCCTTCCTCTCCTTTCCTCCTACATTTAGCAAACCCTTTCGTTTTTCCTTGGGAGGTTGGGAGTGTGATTAATTTTTTTTGGGTTTCATCTTGGGGTGGTGGATTAATACGGGCGATGATGAGTCAAAACTTTGAATGATTCTTCCAATTTACTATATAAAGATTATTTGCTATTTTTTTTCCCTCATTCAATTTTGCTCACACAGATTGCCCATTTCCGTAAATTTATGTTGTTGGTTATGATGATGGTAGTGGTGGTGATGGTGGTGCTGATGAATGAATGAGATCTCTCTAATCTCCTCTCTATCGGCTTAAAGCTTCCTAATTTCTCGTCCTTTAATTTTTGCATTAAAATCGATCGACCCTCTTCCCCTTCCCCGTGTCTCGTTACCTTCAATTTTCCTATTTCTCCATCTGGGTTTCTTTCAATTTCCTGTCAGATTGAGGTAATTCTCACGTTTCTTCCCCGCTCCCTCACAAAATACATGTTTTGTTATTGGGCATTTTCCACCTGAAGCGATTTCATTTTTTTTCCTCTTCTTCTTCTGGGTTGTGATTGATCAGGGCGTGGAGCATTCATCCTTGCGATTTTTAGTGCAAGAAGGCAAGATAAGAATATAGTGGTAGCTGGATTGGGATTGGTTAGCAATCCTATAGATGGCGAAGAGTTGGGATCCATTTGGTGATTCGTGGAGCTTTAGGAATTTTGATTGGAATGTGGAGAAATCTCATTTTCCTGGAGGAGCAGAATTGGAAGCCTATGGTAGGGCAGTGTCTGATGATATTTTTGATCGTCTCCCTGTGGATCCGTTTGGCATGGACATCAAGTCCAGATTCAGTGCAGTGAAAGGATGGATTGGAGTTTTCGAGGCCGATTTTGGTGACGTTGGGGACGATGATGGTGAAAAGAAGTTCGTTGGCGATGGATTGTTTTCGGGGTTTGATTGGTTTCTCAATGATGGTGTGAGGCTGCAGTCACAGTCTAACATTAATATCAGTTCGTTCTCGATTCATGATAACATCTATGATCTAGGGATTGATTGTGAATATGGCGATTTCGGTTCAAAAATTGATTTCGACAATGTGATACTCTCCAGTAAAGGGAAAGCATCAACAAGAAGGGAAGAGTGTGATGCAAATGCTTGCTCCGTGTCCACAGATGGTTGTTCTCCTCACAGTTTGGGGATTGATTCTATATTTAATGTGAGTAGTGGAGTTGTATTTGATGAAGAGAAAGAGTGTGAAGATAAAAAAGGTGGTGAGCCACCTGATGGTTTTGATTTAGTTCTGTCTTACCTAGGTGTGAGGGAGCTCCTTGTGGTTGAAATGGTATCCAAGTCTCTCCGTGATGTTGTCCGAGATAATTCTCTATGGAAAAAAATTTATATCGATCAACCATTAAGTGAGAAAATAACCGATGATGTTCTTGGCAAGTTGGCTGGTAGGGCACAAGGCACTTTGCAATCCTTGACACTGGTTGGATGCACAAAAATCAGTGATACTGGATTGATGCGGGTTCTTGAAAGCAATTTGAGTTTGCAAAAGGTGAGTCCCTCCTTCCTTATTGCTAACCACCATCATCCACACTCAAAATTGTTTTCACATGCAAATTAATGGTTTGTGCTGCTAATAAATTGACAGAGTATTGTTTTGTTTATTGTTTTGTTTTTCTTTCAGTTGTTCTTTTGTTAATCATGGTGCTTGAAATGTCGATTGATCTGTTTAAGGAGTTATGTTTTTATCATTGTGCATTGAACACAGTATTAATAATGTAAGCACTAAGCAGAAGTTGGTTGTCTAGTTTGACTTTTTTATTGTATAAAAAACCAGTATATTGCTAAGCAATTTAGGTTTTAAGCACATAGGAGTTCTTTTACCATAATTTATTTTTATTTTGGAAAATAAGAAGGAATAGGGTTACACTTTCAACTACATAATTGGTTACTTTGTGATGCTCTACGTGTCAAAAAGTCTTATGCATCATTAACTCTTATTACAAAAAAATATCAATTAACTTGCGATGCTCTGCACGTTGAAATTCTTATCCTAAATTAAAGTGTGATAATTTAAGATTTGTCAATTCTACTTGTTGCTTGCAGTTATCAGTTCCCAGGTGTCTAAGGCTAACCGTCGATGGCATTGTGGGAATTTTGAGGGCCTTGAAGTCGGCAGGCACTTTAAAATTGAAACACTTGAGATTTGGTTGCTTCGTTGGTGTAACTGACCATCAATTTGAAGAGCTGAGTTCCATTCTTGGTGCAGAGATGCAGGCAGAGCAGATAAGCAACAAGAAGAAGCCTCAGTTCTATCACGTGGGACAATTTTATCTCTCATGTGATGATGATCGTGCCTTTGACATCGAGAGGTGCCCAAAATGTCAGAAACTGAAGCTGATTTATGATTGCCCTTTAGAGGGTTGTCAAGTGAATGATCAAGCTGCCAGTCAGCTATGTAGGGCTTGCACTCAGTGCATTCCTCGATGCATTCACTGTGGGCAGTGTATTCGGGATAGGGATTATGAGGAAACCTTCACATTGGACCATCTTTGTTTGGTCTGCAGGAAGGAACTCCAGACTTGTGATGAGAAGCATGAAATGAAGAGCGTGTCTTCTTCAGGAAGCATCATCTTTGTGGACAAATGAGGTGAATCCAACTTCTGATTTTTTGTATTAAGAGTGAAGAAAAGGCGTTGCTGGTATTATCCTCCTTCATGGTTGTCGGTTAATTTTACATACTTCAACTGTGTTTGGAGATGTGGCGCAATGATTGCCGATGGATGTCAACCCTCACTCTCGTTGCAAAGTTACACAAAATCCTCCTGTGGCTTGGGGTTGTGTTGTCTCCTAGGAGCCTTGAGGCAGACTGGCCTTGGTTTGTCCATTGGCTGTTTGCACATGACAAACATGAACTGAGGTTCAAGAGTAGGCTTACAGGGTCAACAAGAACAAAAAAGAAAAGACAAAAAAATGGAAAAGAACAACAACAAAAAAAGACAGAACTAGCTAAAAAGGAGGGAAATAAAGTAAGGAAAGAAGCACAGTAGAAAGTGAAGGAAATATGATGGGGAAGGGGGAGACACTGATGTTGTTGCATTTGATATGAGCATTAGTCGAGGTTCCCCTTGTACATAATGGTTGTCTGGCTGGATTTTGTGATGTAAAGGACAGAGAATAAGGAAGGACTTTAGCAAATTAGATTTCGATTGATTGGGGCAGGAGTTCGTTAGTAACAAGCTTTTTGCTGCTGGCTTGTTGATGTCAATCCTCCAGTAGAAGGATTAAGAAGTTGAGGCGGGTGAAGTGAACAAAGAGAAGGGTCTTCACTACATAGAAGAAGCTTAGAAGGTTTGCAGGCGAGAAATATCGGTTTAATTTCGCTTGCAAGGTGATTGGTCTGTGTGTGTGTGTGTGTGTCAATATGTCAGGTTGGTATTGGGAAGATGATGTTTGTGGGATACTTGCTGCAGAATTAATCAGATCTTCATTATGTTAATATTGTAATCTTACTATGTTGTTTTTGTTTTTGGGATGAGACTGGGACTGGGCTGGCAATGTAAGATAGTGCCCAAGTCTTCCATTATCAAATAAATAAGTGATGTCACAACTAATTTTTGTAGAGATTTTATGTTTGGTGATTTATATATATATATATACATATGAGGAGGGTAATTGTTGAGAACCGATACAAGAAATGTTGCATTGTCTACCTTTTCCTAGGAATGACAATGTTAAGCGAATAATTTGATCCAATTGTCATGATTCATTTAAGTATTTTATTAAATTTAAATTGACTAATATATACTTAGGGGTAATTTGCATGAATTATTTGGTACTAAATGACTGTTTTGTGAACAAAAAACAAAATGAGTCGTTTACAAATGACTCTTTTTTAATATCACTACTTTCAATCTCAATCTCCCCTTTTTTTCATATACGCAATACTAATTCTTCTCTATTTTGTCTTCATAAAACCAGTACTTTCCAACTATTCTCCATTATACTTTTCAACTATCTCTAGAAAACTAGTCATTATTTTTTAAAGGTTTCAAATATATGTTTTGTTTGGTTGTAAAATGATATAGTTTAGAACCCTTATAATTTGTAAATAAAGTTATCATAAAAGCATTGTTCACAAATAAAAAAGTAGTATTATTATATATTACCAATGCCCAAATAATAAGTTACATATTGGTTGGAAAATGGAATTTGCTTTTGTGGTTGGCTTTATTAGGATAACAACCAAGAAAATGAAACTTACTACATGTAAGAGAAAAATAATAACAATATACAAATCACCCATCTAAAAATTTATCAATAAACAACACATTTGGACTAATGGAGGTGAGTGGGACTAGAAATGCCTCAGCACATGCCTCTCTAATGATATCATCTGCGTATTGCAGGAAAATATAGTTTAGAACTAGGAATGAGAGAGGATAAAACCTTATGGGGGTGTCGAGAAGCATCATCGATTTCGTCTAAGATCTGCATACAACCTTGTTTAGGGGAATAGGGAAGCGGAACCAGAGAAGATTTTGAAAGACTTTTGGCACTGGATATGTCTAAGTTTTGTCACATATTTCCTATAGCTTGCAACCCACAATAGACTTCTCCCCAACAAGGAAAGAGAGGCGCGAGCTCACAAGTAATGGCAGCTGCACTCATTGTACTGTAGCAAAAGAGACAGTTGAGCATATCTTTCGCAATTGCACAAAGACATTGATAATTTGGAATAATTTATAAGATGAAGGAAAAGAACACAAATCTTGAGTTCCATACTTGGCTCACCAAAATCTCTAGGCTAAGGAGACGTGAATATAATTTGGCATTGTCTACTTGATGCTATGGAAACAGAAAAGTGAAGAAATTATGGAGACAAGAAATTCTAGGACGAATGGACTATTCATAGGATAAATGTCTGGTTTCAAATCAACAAACAAGCACATAATAGCGTACAATGAAGCATGCTGCTACCTCAAAACAACAAAATAAGTTAGTAGATCAGTTAGACTCATCTAAGAGATGGGTGGTTGCGAATCTAGACGGATGGCTCGGTTGACACTTCGACTAGGAAAGAAACAATAATGAACTTTTGTGTGATTAGTTGGGTAGATGTGAGAGAACATTCCGCAACAACTTGAGATTGTGCTCGATCACAAGAGCTGAACTTAAGAAGGCAATTGAAGGTCTTGAGTTTTCTTAGTGTAAAGGCTTCGAGAAGGTCGAGTTAAACCTTGATTCCTAGACATCAAAAGGATACAAATCACATATATGGTTTGCTAGTCAAGCATATAGGTAGTCCTTTGGAAAGAGATTCAAACGTTAGAATTTTCCATATATATAGAGAAAGTAATTGTGCAGTCAACTTCTTGGATAATAAAGATTACTTTGTTCCTTTTGGCACACATTCATTAGATGCTACGAGACCATGGGACAAATCATGGATCCAGTTATTAAATAATACAAATCAGACGTCGATGGTTCTGATAATATACGTAGAGAATGAGTGTGCGTGATAAACGTTTATTTTTTATATAGGAATGAATTTAAAGGTTTAGGATAACCAATTTTTTTCGTTGGTTGTTGCCCCCAAGGATCGAACTGGGATTACCAATTTCGGCAGAAAATAACATTAATTTTTGTAGAGATATTCTGTTTAGTGATTTATGTATATGGCTTATTAAACTAGTAAAAGACGAAAGCAATCCTTAATAAACCAATCTTACTCACAAGTTGAAAGGCAACTTATCGATTAAATGCAAATAATTTCTAGGAAAAATTGAATGTTGGTGAAAAATGATTGTGAATTTATATCTATAACTTCTTTTTGTATAATACTATATCCGTATTGCTACAAATTATTATCGGGATATTATTACGTACTAATTAGTAAATTCAAATAGATATAACATGTTCTATTTTACATTTACGGGAGAAGAGTCGATCCTATCAATTGAATAAAAAAAGTGTAAACACTAATTATTAGCTAAACCTATTGAATAACTAATAATTAGCAAAATATTAACTTTCAGTTAGCAATTTTTTTAGTAATGTTGATTTGGCAACGTGATACTGACTTAAAGGAGACATATGGCGGTCAACATTCAAAAAATTTAGTATTTTAATTAAGAAAAGAGATACAAAACTATTAACGATAACGTGAAAATAACTAATATTTTGAGGTATTTGCTAATAAAAAAGAATGCAATAAATATTCGCTAAATAATTAGTGTTTACTATTTACCCTAAAAAATTGTGTCTTATTTTAGTATTAGTCCGAAACGTTTCACATAAGTTCGAAACGTTTAGAAGGTAGGAACAAAGGGAAGAATGCTGCTTTGGGGACGAAATATCCGTTTTTGCTGATCCGCGCCTCTCAAGGCCGCGCGCCCTATTTATCTGACTTCCCCCTCTCTCTAGATTCTTCTGGCCGACGGCGAAGTTCTTTACTGGAAGAAATCCAAGTCCTAGCAGAAACGAAAGCAATCAGCCAAACTAAGAGAGAGAGCGCGAGGGAGCAGCTTTCGCCGGAAGAATGGAGAACGGCGAAGTACCTGAAGACGCTAACGAGAGTAAGCGACAGCCCCTTTTCCTCAATTCCATCCTTATGTTTTTCTTCTTTTCTTTCTGTTTCCAGACATGAATTGCTCTAAACCTTGTGTATCTGGATTCCCACCTGCAGATTGTCCCGGTCCTCTGTCTGAATCCGCGGGAAAGTCCGATTCCTGTCAAGGATGCCCTAACCAGGAAGCTTGTGCTACTGCCCCTAAAGGCCCCGACCCAGGTTCCCCTCTTTTTTTAATCTTACTTCTTTATTTGCTGTTAGATGTTGATTGGAGCTGTTGGCATCAGAGCCAGTAGGTCTACCTTTGAGTTTGGTAATGGTTTCTGCTGGATGGTTATCTTACTTGAGAGTTAGTTGCATTTAACTTGGATTGCAGCTGACTGCCTGGCTCTGATGAGTCCATTTCGAGTAGTTGATTCTGGTGTCAAAAAATGGTGGAACTTCACTACCGAAAAAATGATGGAACTTGGTTTGCTAGGGAGTACCATGTTGGAGAAAGGAGCTTCTAGGAACTTAAGCTGCTGTTAATGAAGGTTCAATAGACTTGATTATGCTAAGTGATTCTGGGTAACAAGTTTGAATGATAATGGATTTGTGAAATTCGTGTCCAGAAGCGCTAAGGTTGACTAATGTTTGTCCATACCGAAATGTTATCTTATATCCATCTAGATGGAACATGTTGTTTACTCTCTGGCATGTCTAACCATTGATCTTGGAGCCACTTGGCATTAAGTATATCTAGATCGTACAAGAAAGGGGATTCTCTTTTCTTCCTGTTTATCCTTCACGAGAAAGAAAAGCTTATGGCTCTTTGAACTTTGAGGCTTTGAGTTTGAGCCCTTTGGTGTTGGGTTTGTCCGTTATTTACGCCCTGGCATCTCTAACAGATGATCTTGAAGCGGGCTGGTATTTGTGCTAACCAGATCGTGGTAAATTGGTCCAATATTGAGGGTTCTCTTCTCTTTCTGTTTGTTCTTCACAGGCGAGAGGGAGAGAGAAAAGAGTATTGCTTATGTCTGATACCAAACTTTGAGTTCAATGATTGTCCCTCTGGAAAGCCAAGTGCTTTTAACTGAATCCTTGTTTTCTGGATTTCTACAGACTTGGTTGCAATAGCAGAGAGAATGGCAACTGTGAAGCACAAGATCCTGATTTTATCAGGGAAAGGGGGCGTAGGGAAGAGCACATTCTCAGCCCAATTATCCTTCGCCCTAGCCTCCCTAGACTTCCAAGTCGGTCTCCTAGACATCGATATCTGCGGCCCAAGCATCCCCAAGATGCTCGGCCTCGAGGGTCAAGACATCCACCAGAGCAACCTTGGGTGGTCCCCAATCTATGTTGAGTCAAACCTAGGAGTTATGTCAGTTGGCTTCATGCTTCCAAACCCAGATGAAGCCGTCATATGGCGAGGCCCCCGCAAGAACGGCCTCATCAAGCAGTTTCTAAAAGACGTCCATTGGGGCGATCTCGATTTTCTTGTGGTTGACGCTCCACCAGGGACCTCAGACGAGCACATCTCGATCGTCCAATTCCTCCAGGCGACAGGAATCGACGGTGCTATCATAGTCACCACGCCACAACAGGTAAGGGTGGCTAACTAGGTAGCCATTTTGGTTGACTATTAGATTGACTGTTCAGTTATGGTTTTGATTTTGAAGTAACAACTCCCTAATTGTTTTCATTATTGATTTTTCCTCAACAACAGGTGTCCCTGATCGATGTACGAAAGGAAGTGAGCTTCTGCAAGAAGGTTGGGGTGGAGGTTCTCGGGGTTGTTGAGAACATGAGTGGGTTGAGTCAACCGTTGACAGATTTCAAGTTCATGAAGGCAGGGGAACATGGCGAGCAAGTCGATGTAACAAAAGCTGTTCTGGATTGCATGAGAGAGAAAGCTCCCGAGTTGCTGGAGCTGGTTGCGTTTACTGAGGTGTTTGATAGTAGTGCAGGTGGTGCAGCAGAAATGTGTCGGGAAATGGGGGTCCCTTTTCTTGGGAAAGTACCACTTGATCCGCAGCTGTGCAAGGCTGCTGAAGAGGGACGATCGTGTTTTGAAGGCCAGAGTTGCAGGGTTAGTGCTCCAGTGTTGAGGGGTATGATCGAGAAGCTGCTGAAGGTGAAGGAATGGAATCAAGACGAGTTGCAGCATGCAGAGAATGGACGAGTGTAATAAGAACATATGATCTTTCTGTTTGCTTTTCATTAGATTCTCAAGTTTTTTCTTTGTTGTTCAAAGGTGAATGCTTTGAGGATTTTGTTTTTGGCATACGAATGAGTTGAAGGTATACACATGCCAACCAAATAACGCCATTTTTGGCTGTGAACATATTGCTCGATGGCATATTGTGTTGTCCTATAGAAATATGTAGCCTTTGATTTCCATTGGAGTTGAAGTTAGGTTCTACAGGCCGACTGAGTGAAGGAAATTGTTTTCAGAAATATATTCACTGAGCTGGGTTGCATCCTGGGCAGAGATCACATAAAACTGCAGTTCCATTCTCGGTTGACATAAACCATAAGGGTGAAGAAACTCAACTATCCATTATGTACGAGTAATCCAGTTTCAATACAGATGAAAGTAACATCTTGCATCAACATACACCAAAAGGCACACGAATTAGCATCACGATGAGTCCAAAATCGGTTTTTGCAGCCAGTCAACGAAGCATCAGTTGTCCAAAAAAACCCATCAGAGGGTCACAACAGTAATTCACTCCAGAACGCTGAATCTCTAGGACTCATGCATGCTGCATTTGAGTCTCCACATATTAGCTACTTTGGGCCATAATTCCTAGAGAACCTGCAACAAAAATCCATAAATGAGAAGGTATTAGACCACATTGGCCAGGTTGAAGTTGTTATGGGCAAGAGACTGATAAAGAACAAGAACATACTTAAAAAAATCTCCGTATAGCCACTTCTGCTTCTTCCTTTCCAAACCGGTCCTGCTTTGGAAGGATGGCTGACTTCTTTTCCAGTCGTTCCTCGAGGGGGATCAAACGTTTCTCTGAATGGCATTACCATCTGTTGATGAAACAGGCTGTTCTCTTATCCGAGACAAAAGCATCGAAACTCCTTCCGTAGCAATCTCCAACCTCTCCTTTGACTTGCCCGATTCACTTATCAAGGACGATACCATATTCCGTAACAACTGCACGTTCTCTGAATGATTCCGCTGCGGATCTCGAACCAGTTTACTGGGAGGTGTGCCTGTAACACGACGCCAGCGTACGGGGAGATACCTTTCAGGTATTTGGAAACAATTCCCAGTGGAGAGAACACGAAGGGTATGCCTGCAGAGTATTCCAGAGAACTCGAACTGATGACAGCTGCAACTAATGATGCCTTCCCTGGGCATCCAATACACCTTCCTGCCTCCTTCGAGCTTTGTGTGGTGTCTCACGAGAAACCCATCTTCCATTTGGAATGACGCATAGTGGGCAGCTAATACGAGTTGTTCTTGGAGCTTGGAGAAAGCGTATGGAGTGAGGACTGATGCGGCATGGGATTCCATGGGTGCCCCCGTCTTTAAGTTTATGTTTTGAAGATTCTGCTGCATTATTTGTTGTTCAGCAGCTTGGTCTTTGAAGTCAACTGCAACAGAAGCCTGGTTCCATTTTCAGCAGTAAGTTAAAAACCTAATGAATTCAGACTTATGCCTTGTAATTTGGATGAGGGAAGAACTGGAGAGAAGCCATTAGACATACCTGTTCTACGAAATGAGGTAGACGGGTTTGTGCAATTAGAAACCGCTGGATGAATGCATTTATAGATTTTGAATGTCCAATCGCCATCATTCCTGCAAAGAAATGGCTTCTCAAGTATGGTAGCGCCCATAGAGACCGCAAGGCATACAAGTTTGCAATGTGGCGATTAGCGTGCAGCCCGAATGAAGTCACCATGTCCCTCCAACCAAGCTCAAAGTCTTCAATTGATTCTAGATTATATAATCGATGAAATTCTGCTTTCCAATCATTATAACGATCTCCTAAAACAGCATTAAACCAGGAAGGAAATTTCGCCACAATCATCCATATACACAGAGCATGTTTTGTACTAGGCATCTCAGCAGCCATGGCTTCTTTGAGGCACATATTCTGGTCAGTTAACATTGTCTGTGGTGCTTTCCCATTCATAAACCCCAAGAATGCCTACCATATTGATAGCAAGAAACAAAAAACAAAAACACATAAGAACTTTTGGAGGCGGGTTACTTGAAAGGTGAATGCATACCAGTACAGATAACTGCTACTATATTACCTTCAATGCCCAAGACAATGACCTCAAATTTTCTTCTCGCAGAATCACACAGCCGAAGAAGCAAGGCGTACCATAATTGTTCACTCCAATCCATATCCCGAGAGGCATGTCGATTGCAGTCAAACGATGAGTTGTATCAAATACCACAGCATCACCGAACACATCATATGATTCAATAGATGAAGCATATGACCAAGCAATATTCTCAAGCCTATTGTTGGAATCAAGTAAGTATTCAAACTTGAAGTCGGGTTCCTTGTCCTTTATGTTTCTGCATATTCTCAACAAGTCTATACTCTCATCCTCTGAATCTATCTTACGAAACGACTGAAGCAAATTCCTCACATCCTTCTCAGTGAAAGGCAGATACCCTGGCTCAACACATTTCTCAAGTTCCAACAGCCTCATCATTTGTTGAACTGAAATCCTAGTTTTGGCAAACATGAGAATCCTGCTCTTATCTGCCTCCGATATGCTTCGATAAGCAGGTAGAAAACGGACTTGATTCGGCTCAAGAAGCTCGTGATTGTGGTGGTTTGCAAACCCTGTCACACGCCACTCGAATGCACCCAACTCCGAGGACTTGCTAATCCTGATATACGCCTGACATCCACAACGAGATGATTTCCTATTCCTTTGCTGCTTACCCTCGTTTGCAGCTTTAGCAGGAGTGTTTCCAGCTCGATGGCACACGAAATACCGCCTAGTGAGCCCCTTGCCAATCCCGTCTTTCCCCTCCGTGCGGTGCCTTCGAATTGAAAATCCACATCGCTTGGCAAACTCACTGTAGAATTGATAAGCTGCATCATGTGTAGCAAATCTCTGCCCGATATAAGGAACAGTGTCAGTATTGGTTTCCAAGGAGAGTCTTGTGTCATCGTGTGATTCCTCTGTGCTACTGCCATCGTCCAAAGACAATAATTGTTGGTTTGAGGGATCATCATAGACCATCAACATTTCTCCAGCCTCTTCAGATATCATCCCTTTTAATTTTCAGACAATGACAGTCAACTACTGACACCCCGAAACACAATATCCTAAATGATACACAGCCAGGCTCTCTATCAGTTCATAAAAGAAACCAGGCAAATTAATCATAAGCAACTTGTGGAACCATTCGAGAAGAAGAAGAAGACGGCCCAGCCGCCGCCGGCCCAATTCGCTGCCTCCTCTCCTATTCGATTTCCCGCCGAATATGGATTTGTACGCCCCCGGGGAGAATTGGGTCCAGAGACCTTCACCGGAAAGGAACTGCCTTTCTTCCTCGGAGGCAATGCCGGGAAGAGACGGCCGCGAGATGTAAGTGTTATGGTTGATTAGTAACGATGCTAGAAGAGTTGCTGTGGAGGCGCTAAGTGGAAAAGCAGATGAGGGTACCGGAATTGGGGAAGAAAGGACAGAGATGGAGGGAAAAGGAAGTCGAAGATGGCAGCAAATGCTGAAATTAGGGATTGGATTGGAACTGGTTCGGAAGGCGACTGATTGGAATCTTTTCCGGAGTCAGTTTACTGTTGGTTTCTGTCAGGGAGTACTTTGGGCCAAGAGTTTGGCGGCAATTTGAAAACCTGGGCTTCATATTGTAATGAACATATGGGCTTTGATAGGCTATCCAAATCAAAATGGGCCAAGGTCCACCACGATCCAAAAGAACGAAAGAAGCTATTTTTGGCTCATTTTACCAGTTCCATAATATACGCTCCATTTTCTTAGCCTCCCGCCATGAGACCTGGTAAAGAGCGATCGGAAATGGCGGGTGAACTCGCCGCCTCCTTAGCTCTCGGCTGCATTGTCGATTCGTGTTTCGCCAGTTTGGGAAATCTCCATTACTATAAATCTGCTCTTCCATTTTCTTCCAAACTCCTTTTCTCCCAATATCTTTATATGCTTCCTGCGTCTGCTTTCCCCTCTCCATCGGCGAATTCTGATTCCCAGCTCCATCAATGGCGAAGGTCAAGATCGGAATCAACGGTATGCACTCTCTATTATCCTTCGTATTCATTGATCTATAATGAAATCGAGAAATGGCGTTATGGGTTATTCTTTGTTCTGAAAATGTTAGGTTTCGGAAGGATTGGGCGCTTGGTCGCCAGAGTCGCGTTGCAGAGAGACGATGTCGAGCTCGTCGCTGTCAACGATCCTTTCATCACCACCGACTACATGGTACGTTTTCAACGTTCGATGCAAATGGAGGCGAATGAGGAATCGATGGTAAACAACGAAAGGGTCTGATTTATACTGTGTGCTTGGTTTTTGTTCAGACGTATGTGTTCAAGTATGACAGTGTTCACGGGCAATGGAAGAACCATGAGATCAAAGTGAAGGATTCAAAAACCCTTCTCTTCGGCGACAAGCCCGTCACTGTTTTCGGCTGCAGGTTTCTGCTCGTGCTATAGCTTTTCCTTTTCCTTTTCCCCATTGCAGAGTTGAGATCATGAGATATATTGATAAGGGAAGCTTTGATTCAGGAATCCCGAGGAAATCCCATGGGGCGAGACTGGAGCTGAGTACATTGTGGAATCCACCGGAGTTTTCACTGACAAGGATAAAGCTGCTGCTCATTTGAAGGTTCCCTTTCCATGTCTTCGTGTTTCTTGTCCTGAATTTGTTTCCATCGATTGGAATGTGAGTCTGATGAGAAGGTTGAATTGCGTGGTTTCTATGACCAGGGTGGTGCTAAGAAAGTTGTGATCTCTGCACCAAGCAAAGATGCACCCATGTTCGTTGTTGGCGTGAATGAGAAGGAATACAAGTCTGATCTTGATGTCGTCTCCAATGCTAGTTGCACTACCAACTGCCTTGCTCCCTTGGCTAAGGTACTACACTATGATGAACCAATTTGTGGTTTGTTTGTATTGCTTATCACCTTTTTGGTATCCTGAAATTGTGTAATGTGCATCTGGGTTTTGCAGGTCATCAATGACAAATTCGGCATCGTTGAGGGCCTTATGACCACTGTCCACTCTATTACAGCCACACAGAAGACTGTTGATGGCCCGTCTATGAAGGACTGGAGAGGTGGAAGGGCTGCCTCCTTCAATATCATTCCAAGCAGCACTGGAGCTGCTAAGGTACTATCTGTGGGCAATAATGCAGATTGGTTATTCCAATTTAGCGTCAACCTTGTAAGATTATGATGTATTCTTGTCCTGGTTATCTTTCTTGATTCTTTAGGCTGTTGGCAAAGTGTTGCCTGCCTTGAACGGGAAGTTGACTGGAATGGCGTTCAGGGTTCCCACGGTTGATGTCTCGGTAGTGGACCTCACTGTCAGGCTCGAGAAGAAGGCCACTTATGATGACATCAAGAATGCCATGAAGTATGTTTTTCATATACCAGCATGACCTGATGTCTCCTGACACGAGGTTTTGAAATATAATGTGTCATTGTTCTTGCAGGGAAGCATCTGAGGGTTGCATGAAGGGGATCCTTGGTTATACTGAAGATGACGTTGTGTCATCTGACTTCGTGGGCTGCAACAGGTGAGTCGAGGAGGAGGAACTGCCTCTCTTATTCGGTGCCATTAGCCTCTCCTATGCAAATTTTGTGACTGATCACACTTGCCGTACACAATGTTGCAGGTCTAGCATCTTCGATGCCAAGGCTGGCATTGCTCTGAACGACAACTTCGTGAAGCTCGTCTCTTGGTACGACAACGAGTGGGGTTACAGGTAATGTGGCTCATGCACCAAGTTGGCAACTTTCTTTGCATAGAGCATTTCTAGGCATTGTGCATGGTCCCTATTCATCTCTGTGATCACTTGATACTAAATCTCGCACTGTGCCTTTTCAATGTTTGTTTTTTGCAGCACAAGGGTTGTTGACTTGATCTGCCACATGGCTTCCTGCAAGTAAAAGGAACACTGCACCCAATTTTGGGCCGAGTTTAGGGCATTAGAAGAGAAGTATTAAATAATCCCAGGCACGAGAGAACAATTTTTGCAATTGTGGAAGTGGTGGAAGAAGCTACTACTCCCTTTCCCAACTTCATTTTTTATATCCTTGGGAAGTTTTGAGGCTCTCCCCATTGTGGAGTTTTTAATTTTTTTTTTCTGGTTTATTTATATAATGATATGATTTGTCAATTTCAAATTAATGATCATATGAGCTCATTTTTCGTTATCGATGATTGAACCATCACTATGAATAACTATTTTTTGTTTTGGGAACTCAACTCAACCTGAATAAAATTAACGATAGAAAATCTAACAAAAGTGACAATTCGAGCCGTAATAAGAATAACTTTCGAGCCGTAATAAGAATAATACGTGATTAAAATTTCATTCATTAACCCTGTAAAATTCGACCAACCGTGTATACCAAGTGTATACCAAATAATGTTAGAATCCCTTCTTATCACTTTATTCATATTTCTTGAGAGTTAACTTCCTATCTCGTGAATTCAACTCTCTGAATTCAACTCTCACTCTCTGTAAATATACATTCCGTATTCATCTCTCTAAAGACTTCTCGACCAAAGGTCATAGTCAGTTTTACCCAAACACCATTCAAGTAATGCTTGACATATTGTGACATCCAAACTAAAGTTACAGAAAAACTATCCAGAACCAGTTGTTAATACCCTAATAATGGTAATTGGTAGAATGCATCTAGTTGAAAAGAAAGGTAAAATGCGTGACACCTACTCATCTTTTGCCACGAGCCATGTCCATGAAAACATCACATCCGAACAATCAAGATCCCTAACCCTTCCGAGAAGGCCACAGGAAAGGCAATCGATTTGGTGAAATCAAAACAGGGAACAAGATCAGACCAAGTTGTGCAAGAAAGCAGATGACGTTCACCACCTTCTTAATTTATGCTTAACCAAGGGAACAATTTTAATCACATTTGAAGTTTGCAATTAAAACTGCATACTGAGTCATTTACTAGCAGAAACATCCACCAGAAGATGAACAAAATAGGCAGACTCTTCCGAGTTCAACATTACACCAACTTCCTAACTTTCAAAGATCCTTCATATTCCTAAAAGTGTTCAATTATGATAAGATTCCCAGAAACACAAAGGCAAGAAAGTACTACTCCAAGCAAGCCATTCACAACTTCCTTCATGCCTCTCTCACTAACCCCGCCCGATCCTACAAGAACAACAAACCGGAGTCAGAACAAGGACTATGGAACTTCATCAACCCACAACCAAAAGAGTCTGTGCAAATGGAGTAACCGCCGTTCATAATCAACTGTTTCATGAAGAGCATAGGTAAACTTCTGCATTTTTGTATCACAGTATACAACTAAGAACCGCCTGTGCAAACCATAAGCACTAATATACAGAAAAGATTCAAGAGGACCTTAATGACAAGGCTTGATCATGAACTTTGATTCAAAGACCAACTAACCTTGTCAGGCAAAGCCTAAAGATCAATGTCTAGTGTTCTTAAGAGCAGGGCAGAGTGAGCAACAAACCGAACTCACAGAAACATAAGCTACCAACTCAGTGTAGCCACACAATAGACTATATCCAAATCAGCTCTACTTCCTGTCTTTCCCAAACAAGAAATTATGTACATCCACATTATTTCAACCAACCGAGTGAAATGAAATGCAAGACAATCCAAGCAGAAACGCATTACCTCTTTCAACGACCGGCACCCAATCCAAGCAGCATATTGCCCCCAGAAGGAAGGTAAGAAACATTCGGCGACCTAGCAAGAGTTGCAGCAATCTCCCTAGCAGCCTCAATCCTCCTGAGCTCAATAAGCCCCATGCCAGCTTTGGTAGTTGCATCAGAGATAAGCTTGGCAGCCTCACTTTCACCTTCCGCCCTGATAACAGCAGCCCTCCTCTCTTGGTCAGCTTTCATCACCACAAACTTCGACCTCTCGGCCTCCTGCTGAGCCACTTGCTTCTGCTCAACGGCCCTTGAGAACTCCACACCATAAGACAGGTGGGTAATCGCCACATCTTCGAGCATAATGTTGAAGTCTCTCGCGCGGTTGATAAGAGCTTCCCGAACGAGCATGGAGACTTGGGGACGCTCGGTGAGCAGCTGATCAGCATTGAATTGAGCAACCACTGCCTTCAGCACCTCATTACCAATCGAAGGGAGCACCTTCTCATCATACTCCACTCCAAGATGTTGAAAGATGTAGGGCAGACGCGTCATCTTAAACAACACAACACAAAACAAAACAAAACCCATTCTCTAAGCACAAACAAAGGAACCCCAAAGCTAATCAATAACCAAAACTGACCCAAAATCCAGAAATCTGACAGCCAGGTACTCAATTGATTCACCAAACAACATTTCCAGAACAAATCGAATAAGAGCAGAAATGAAACAATTCAGCTAGGAATTTAATTCTGTATCCCCTATTTCTTACCTCCGGGCGAGAGAGGACACGGAGGGTGAGATTCACCATCTGCAAATCCTTCGTACCAGAGACGGAAGTGAAGGTGTGAGGCTTGACGCGGATGTCGAAGTAGTGAGGAGTCTGGATCCAGGGGATCCGAATGTGAGTGCCTTCGCCGACGACGGTGGGGACAACTCCGGTGAAACGATCGAAGATAACCACACGCTGGCCTCCCTCGACGGTGTAGAGCGCGGAGTTGACAACAGCCGCGGCGGTTCCGAGACCGAAGGCGGTCTTCGCCATGGCAGTCAAAAACGAAACCAATTGTTGGCTACTCCCCATTGTAGATCTTCCGAGAGAGAGAGAGCTAACCGCTACGCCGGAGAAGAAGAGAGAATCGGATGACGATGAAGGGTTTTGGGAAGAAGATGGTGTGAGCCTAGGGTTTTACGAATTAGATCACGGCGTCAATATTTGTTTTCTATTATCGGTTTAAAATAAAAATATTTAGTCCTATATTTTTTTTCTTGTGAAGTAAGTCAGGCATTTTGGGCTTGACGGATTCCGTGTTGGCATTGGGCCCATATGTGTAAACCTCGACTTGTATCATTAGGCCCATATTTGTAACCACTCGGGCCATTCTAAACTGAGCTCGTCGCGGGAAAGGAAATTAGAGCAAACGAGTGAGGAGGGAATTTGATTAGTTTCCGTTTTCACTTGCAGAAAGGGAGAGCTACTTCTCCGCCTCTTTCCTCCGCCGCCGGGAAAGCTACACTAAGTTCCGCCTCCGTGAATTCATCGGGAAAGGTACGTTCTGAAGGTCTCTTATTGTGATCTTTCGTTAAATATCCATTTGTGCTCTTGAGCTCTGAATCTCGCCCCCTCCGTCCAACGAGAAGTAGGATTAGGGTTGGAAGAATTTCAGTCGATTGATTGATAGAATTTTCTCCATTTCTGGAGAACCTGATCTGTGAATGCTGTAATTGGTTTAATGAAGGTGCAGCTTATGAGAGATAAGCATTGAAATTCGTGAACTGGGTGGGTTGATGGCTTATGAGATTTTGTATTTGTTCATACGCTGAAAATGATGGGGGTTGAAGTTGGATTTCTAAAGTTTTGTTTCATCCTCCTTAAAGTTTTGATCTTTTGCTTTTTCAGAGTTATGGCAATGAACCATATAAGGTCCTTGAGGAGTGTGGTGATTAGTAAAGAAGTAGTCGGAGTGAGAGCATTTGCTGCGGCAGGTGGTAAGGCAAAGAAGGGATCGAAGGGTGGGGCTTCTGCAGATGCACCAAAAGCTTCCAGTCTTAGTAAAGAAGTGAAGTCTTCGACGACAGTTGGTGCCAATATTCTTAAGGATGGTACAGATCCTAAAGTGATGGCTGATTCGGATTACCCCGATTGGCTATGGCATCTTCTCGATAAGCGCCCAGCGTTGAGTGAGCTGAGAAGGAAGGAGAAAGAATCACTGCCGTATGAAGATCTGAAGCGCTACTTCAAGCTGGAGACGCGGGCTGGCATCAAAGAAAACAACTCTATTAAGGCCAAGAATTGATGAAAAATGGGATTCGTAAAACAGGCGCTCGTGCTATCACTATAAAGGTCCATTTCTTCTCCGGGATTAGCTTCTGATTTGAGTTTTTTGTATGAGCTATGAATATGAAAGATTGAACTTGGGAGCTTTTTCAATCTGATGCGAGTCTTTTTTTTTTTTTTTTTTGGTTATCTCTTGATTATTGTTAGGACCCATGAACCTTTGCTGAAAGTGGTTCATTAGTTGACTGGACAATGCTGAAATGCCTGGGTAGAAACTGTTTCTTTCACTCAACAATTTCTCCTAGGTGAAAAGTGAGAAAGTTGTCATGATGCATTACTACTTTGGGTAGACATATCTGTTTGTCTGCCCCAAACACTAATCACCTTAGTGCTTTTGTTTAAAGATGGGATGTCTTTGACATTCTTTTCTAAAGTAATTTCCATCTGAACTGTTGCATGATTGAATTGGTGTGGGAATCATTCTAGATACCCACCAGCTAAGACTGCGATAATGTATGCAACTTGATATGCGAGAATCACATGATCTTGATCTCTGCTGATCATAGTTTTTGTCGCAACTACAGAACTGCAAGGTTCGTAGAACCTCTTCTGCTGTTATTGGGTTACTGTCTTCTTCCTTTCTGTCATTACTTTGCATTTGCAACATCTCAACCAGAAGCAAATCAGCTGCAGAAGGTTCATTGAACCAACATTCCGTGTGGCCCATGGGGGTTGACAATGGCCATTGAACTAGAAAGGCTTTGTGGAAGCCAGCTCCAAGCCATAGCCTACTGTTCTTCCTTTTCCTTAACCCTTATCAACTCTGATCTCTCTACTACCCTTTGAGATATTCCATAAGCCCTACTTGCTTTCCTCCTTTTTTCTGCTTTCTATCATCGTCTCAATGGCCCTTGTGTCTACCATGAATGAGTGTACTACTGTTTTGGGGAAGTTTTTATTCTTAAACAATGTCTGAGCCTTTTGCTCTTTTGCCATTGCTGTGACTGGAGTTTGATTTGAGATTGAGAATGATTTTAATAATATCAGTAGTAAGGACTAAAGACATGAATGATGATGAGCATGTTGTCTTGCTAACTTTTATGATTAGGTGGTTCTTGTTTAAAGTCACGCTGGCCCAATTGCTTTATTTTTGATGAGTTACCAACTGAAATAATGAACTCTGCAACTGTGCTCCACAGGTCACCAGCTCTCACTCGCTCAATTTATCGCATTCATGGTTTCTGGCTTGTTTGGGTCCTCAATGTCTGGTACAACCTTCACCATTTGGCTATTGTCCCTGCCATGATTTCTGACCCTCAAGCTTTACCTATTTTTATGTCCTCAATCAAGACCTTTAGTAAAAAGGCTATCCACAGTTGTTAGGATGGGACGATGATACAATGGTTGTTATAGTAGTCTATAGGAAGTTTCATACCTCCATGAGAAGAATTCGACTTAACTTCAGGTTATAATCGTGATTTGGGTTTAAAGGTCAAATGAGAATGCTTATGTGTGAGATAAAAGTAAAGAGAAATACGAAAGAGCAATCTTACATGAGACAAAGATTTATGTAGTTTGACAAATGTGTGTAATGTTTTTCTCCGTTAAAATGTCGTTTAATTACGATTAAGAAATTGTATGGTTTTTTCTTTTATACAAGTCTAGTAGTAGGAACCCATTTTCTTTCAATAGGTGATGTGGGCCTTAGATGCTAAGTTAGGTTGTGATAGTGTGGTGGCCCTAAGCCTAAACCATACACCAACATGGCAACATGTAGGAATGAAGGCTGTCAAACCATTAGGTTACATCTCCCACTCACTCTCATCTAATTAGAGTTTAAGGCCAGCTTTACACGTTCATGAGCTTTGAAAGAAAGGGATACCCGACGAAACAAGGGAGTCCCATGTCGTGAAAGGTCACTGTCTTATCCTGCAAAGCAAAGAGGGCTGCTGAGTTAGAGAAGTACCAACAATGGAGAGAAAGGGTGGGGGGGAGCATGAAAAAAAAGAAGCAAAGGAGCAACTATGCTGATAGATAAAAGCTTTTTGGGGACATAACATGCAGCATTATTGGTATTGAAAGCATGGCAATACTACCTTCTATACCGGCTTTTTTTCAATGTGGGAGGTTCCAGAAGAAGCACAAACGAGAAGAGAGGATTGATATATATTTGAAAGAATAGCAATGAGAAAAGAAGGAAGAGCAGAAAGTGGTAAAGCTGGCTCTCATTCAAATGCCCCCACTCTTTACCTTTTTAAATACCCACCTAAACTTGGTGCTTAATGATTAGTTTAGTTAGCGGGTGGATATTCCTAAACCCAACCAAATGGAGAATCAACCACAAATATTATGGGCTACCATATTAGATCGAGAGCATATACATTTTGTCATTATGAGTGGCAACACTTAAAGATTAAGTTGGGTCATTCTGGAATGTTTGTCATGATGAATTGCTTCAATTGGGACCGGATATTGTAACAACACTATATTTGTTGTTATTGTAACAACAACATAGGTGGACCAATAGGAACCCACCATTCTGCATACTTTTGAAATTCATGCGTTGACTAGGGTAAAAAACAAAGGAAGGGTATTTTTGTCCTACCCAAAAATTGCAGCTCCTTTTGTCCGAAAAATTGCAGCTCGTTTCTCACTGCATTCTCTCTCCAATCGCGCGGCGCCGAGGCTGAACGACGGGCGACGAATTCCTCATCGCCGCAGCTACTACAACGGCGGCGACGAGATCGTGACGGAGCAGCTACCGCAACGCGCGGCGACGAGATCCTGACGGAGCAGATACCACAACGGCGACGAGATCGTCATCGCAGCAGCTACTGCAACGGCGGCGACGAAATCCCTCGCAGCAGCTACTGCAACGCGCGGCGACGAGATCCTGACGCAGCAGCTACCGCAACGGCGACGAGATCGTCATCGCAGCAGCTATCGCAACGGTGGCGACGAGATCTGATCGCACCAGCTATCGCAACGACGGCGACGAGATCTGATCGCACCAGCTATCGCAACGGCGCCGACGAGATCTGATCGCACCAGCTATCGCAACAACGGCGACGGCGGAGCAAGCTCCTGATCGCAGCTAAGACATTGACGATGAACGAGAATCGTGTAGATGAAGTTTCTGTTGGTTCTGTAGATGCTCAACAACTCCTGCAAATTGCAACATCTTCTGAAGCAACAGAAGGCGGATATCAGCTGGAAACCTCTATTTCCACCAACAGTGGCAACAATGAACAAGAAGAAGGTACGCTCAACTCAATCTTTTCCTGTTTTCTTACAATGAGCACCATAATCACGCTTATACAAGCCATTTACCATATCATAAACACTACCAATCAAACCGCCCACAAAAATCCCACAAACGATACCAAAAGCATCGGTAAACACACCACATTCTTCCCAAAACAAACCACAAGAAAAAAGAGACAATCAACCAAAAACACTTAAAAACCAAACCACAAAACTTCTTAAACGCACCAAAACACCTCCAATGCACACCATTAAACCCTAAATCTGTTTGCAAAAAAACTTTTTGCAATCTGTTTGTAAAAAAAATCACTGTAATGCAAACCATAAATGTCATAAAAGCATCATGAATAACTACAATGCAAACCACTTTTCACTTTTCTAGCAAATATCATCGCAAGATGAAATGATCAAACCGCCCACAAAAATCCCACAAACGATACCAAAAGCATCGCCAAACACACCACATTCTTCCCAAAACAAACCACAGGAAAAAAAGAGACAATCAACCAAAACACTTAAAAACCAAACATAAAACTTCTTAAACGCACCAAAACACCTGCAATGCAAACCATAAATGTCATAAAAGCATCATGAATAACTACAATGCAAACCACATTTCACTTTTCTTGTAAATATTATCGCAAGATGAAATGATCAAGTGCTCATTTCTTTCATCATTACTTACAGGTGTGACATCAAACAGGTCCGAGTCAGACTACACTTGTTTGGGGTTGGCATTCAAAACCATTGAGGAAACAAAACAATTCTACAAGAACTATGCTCACGATCTTGGCTTCAGCGTGAGGGACATGGGAGCTGTCAAACGTTCTACAAAAAGACAGCCAACCAAAACAGCACGATATGCTAGGTATTGCTGCAGCAAAGAAGGATACAAGACCACAAGCAAGTCAAATCCCAAGAATAAATGATCAATCGATGTCAAGGCTTATCAACGTGCTGTACCAGAGACTAGAGTTGGCTGCCCAGCTATAATCAAATTTAGATATGATATCGAGAAGGATGAATGGCTGCTGGACAAGTGGATAACAGAACACAATCATGATCTCCTCCCTCCAAAATTCAAACATCTCTTGAGGTCAAACAAGGGGATCTCAGAAATGCATGCAATGGTCGCAAAAGTGCATGCAGATTGTGGAGTTTCACTACGGAAATCATATGAGTTGTTCACCACAACTTCAGGGGGGAGGGTGAATGTACCTTTTACCCCTCATGATCTGAAGAACTATATCACAGGGACAAGGCAGAAATCAATGAAACCAGGCGAAGCAACTATACTTCTTGAATATTTTCGCCACGAAGCTTACAAGAATCCATCATTCTTCTATGAAATTGAGGTAGATAGTAACGAAGATATTGCAAGTATATTCTGGGCTGATGCAAGAATGCGGTTTGACTACAGTTGCTTCGGAGATACGATCAGCTTCGACACCACATACAAGACAAACCAGAATTATCGTCCACTAGGTCAGTATTCCTTGCACTAGTTAATTTTCTTGAGATTTCGCAAATGTTGTGGTTTGCTTTGTGAGGTTTCTGGTCTGCTTTCGCAAATGTTGTGGTTTGCTTTGTGGGGTTTATGGTTTGTTTTATAAGATTTTTGGTATGCATTAGAAGGTTTGTGGTTTGCATTAAGAAGTATTCCTTGCACTAGTTAATTTTCTTGATATTTCGAAGTTGAATGCATACCAAACATTACGCAATACATACCATAAGTAACATAAAACCACCCCAAAGACTCTTAAAACAAACAACAACAAAAAAAACATGAAACCTTCATTTTGAGAATCCTAACCAAAAACCTCCTAAACCATACTAAACACGTCCTGAAACACACCATATATATCATAAAAGACAGTCTTTGTTTGTTTCAATGTTTAATTCTATGTTGTTCTTTTTTTATTTTTAAATTACAGCTTTGTTTGTTGGCTTCAACCACCATCGTGCACTTTGCATCTTCGGGGCTGCTCTCATATATGATGAAACAACCGCTACATTCAAGTGGTTGTTCGATGCATTCTTGAAATGTATGTCAGGCATCCGACCAACATCAATATTCACCGACCAAGCTGCTGCAATCGCCGCTGGGATTAGATCCGTAATTCCTGAAGCATTCCATGGCTTGTGTACTTTTCATATCAAGTAGAATGCAGTGAAGCATCTCGACACCACAAACACAAACATTCTAGAAGATCTGAAATATGTCACTTTTGGAGTAGAAAATGAGGAAGAATTTGAGTACAATTGGTCAAGGTTGCTAGACACATTTTATCCAGAAGAAGGCACCAATCCAAGGAACTGGTTGGATTCAATTTACAAGGTGAGGAAACAGTGGTCTTCAGCATGGATTAAGGACCACTTCACAGCTTGTATGCGAAGCTCACAGCTGAGTGAGTCTTGTAACAGCAACCTCCGAAACTACCTTCAATCAGATGACAACCTAGTTGAGTTTTCACATACTTCAACAAGTTGGTCGAACGGAAAAGATCAGACGAAATGGAAATGGATTATCAAATGGCAAACACAGTCCCAAACACCATGTACGTATTACTTCCTTTATTTGAACTTTTTATACTGTAGAATGCATCCACAGAACAGTTGATACAACCCAGATACCACCTAAACCAACCCAAAAACCCTACAATCCACACCACAAACCACCTAATACAAACCATAAACACCACAATGCACACCGCACAAGCTTAAACAACCCAGATACCACCTAAACCAACCCAAAACCCTACAATCCACACCACAGACCACCTAATACAAACCATAAACACCACAATGCACACCGCACAAGCTTAAACAACCCAGATACCACCTAAACCAACCCAAAAACCCTACAATCCACACCACAGACCACCTAATACAAACCATAAACACCACAATGCACACCGCACAAGCTTAAACAACCAAGATACCACCTAAACCAACCCATAAATCCCACAATCCGCACCACAAATTATAGTGGTGATATGCCTGACTCATTAATGTAGACAAGATGCTTATGAATGATTTTATGTTGTATGGCATCTTCCAACAGGTATGACAGAAGCCCACTTGTTCAGCAAGTCGCAAAATTATACACAACTAAGATCTACAGTTCTTTCCTTGAGGAGTATTCAGAAAGCCTTGCTTTTTTTGTGTTCCGGAATGAATCTATGGATAGAGATGGAATGGCAGCCTTTGAAGTGAAGAAACTAGGAGGGTTCGACAAAAGAGTCGTGTTAGTGAACAAAGAGGAGAAGAAAGACAAGTGCTCATGTCGTTTGTTTGAAAGTTCAGGCTGGTTGTGCAGACATATAATCAGGCAGATAGAGATTGTTGGATTCAATGGTGATGATATTGAGCAATTGACTATCCCTAAGGAATACATTCTGCCACGATGGACGAGAGATGCCAAATCTGGAGAGAAGTTCACAATAAACACAACAGAATGTGCTGCAACAGATACTTATGCAGGGAGGTATCAAGAACTGTGTGCTAGCATGGTTATCCTAGCAACAAAAGTCTCAATGAATGACAAGGTCTTCTCAATGGTTAAGGAAAAGATTGCAGAGCTCACTAAACTTGCTTTCCAAAGCCTTCAGACTCAAGAAACTCAGCAAACAGCACCTGGTAATTTCACACATCTTGTTAGCATCCCTACTTATATTCACCAGTAATTGCTTAATCCAAGCCACTAATGATCTAATGCAAACCATAAACATCTTAATCCAATCCACTAATTGCTTAATCCCTACTTATGTTCACCAGTATCTTGCATATTGCTTTTTCAACAGTTGGAACCACCAGTACATCACCCTCGCAAAGCGCTGCTGCTTCAGCTACAAATGACAAGTATGCCAATGTGAAGGGATTCAAGACTCGACAAGACCCATGGAAATCAAAGAAGAGGCCAAGAGGTGGACTTGAGGTAGCGCTGGAGAGGGCTAGAAAGCAAAGAATTGATGAACAGGCTGCCAACAAGCGTTACAAAAGCAACAATGAGTGATGATTAGTCTCCTTGTTGTTATCCGTGTTTTTTTTATCTGTCATAGACTTTTAGATTTCAATGACAACTATGA